TCCAAAAAAGGGGGCCTGAGCCCCCTGAGCTCCCCCTCTAAATCTGCCTCTGCAAAGTTACTCAATCATGTAGTTAAAGCTAAATATTTGAGTATAAAAGACTACAATAAATGGGGAATGTGTCCATAGGACACAGATGATGCCCACTCTTGCAGATCATATAAAGTTATAAAACGACATAACTGAAGAACGGTAAAAGTGATGCTTCCCAAATTTGTGCTTGATCTGAGTTTTTTTGGTAATAAGTATTGTGTATAAGTTTCATAACATTTGGTTGAGGCAAACTAAAGTTAGAGATTGAAACGAAAAATTCAGCAATTATACCATTTGTTCTGGAACGGTTAAAGTAACACTTTTTGCCTCTTTCAACTGATTTTTATAGTTCGTTCTTATATTGTACTGTTACACCACTGTCCCAGGTTAGGGGGAGGGTTGGGATCCCGCTAACATGTTTAACCCTGCCACATTCTGTATGTATGTGCCTGTCCCAAGTCAGGAGCCTGTAATTCAGTGGTTGTCGTTTGTTTATGTGTTACATACTTGTTATTTGTTCGGTTTTTTTTTTACATAAATTAGGCCGTTAGTTTTTCTCGTTTGATTGTTTTACATTGTCATTTCGGGGCCTTTTATAGCTGACTGTGTGATATGGGCTTTGCTCATTGTTGAAGGCTGTACGGTGACCTATAGTTGTTAATTTCTGTGTCATTTGGTCTCTTGTGGAGAGTTGTCTCATTGGCAATAATACCACATCTTCTTTTTTATATGTACATAAACAGGATGAAGTTATTTTTCTCACAAAGCATTAAACTAATATTTAATGAACACTGAAACACTAATTGCCATTCTGACCCACTGTAGCCGAGTCCAAGAATAGTGAACAATTAATTCCTTTCTTGGCAGAAAATTTCCCCTAACAATTATCTGGAGCACCACATGATATCAACATGTATCAGTGTGTGACAGAAGTAAAAAAAGTATGCTGATATTAAAACTTCTTCTGCATAAGTATACATGTATATCTTTGCAAGTACACAGTAGAATATCATTAATAAGATGACATTATGATTTATATACTATTACCAATGAATTTAGATTTATCTGATCCCATATCTTCATTGACTTTGTAAATTATAATTTTTTGGTAGGAGAATTAGGAGAATGAAGACTTGCAATGTATTTTCTGGGATATTGTCATGTTTTTTTAAAGTACACTGTGAATCCTCCACACAGATTTTTTTTAATAAACACTCGAGAAGTTGCCCAATGACAGAAAAATGTCAACCTTTAATACTCTATTTTCGAGAATTTACCTTTGAATGCAGACTTGATTATCGGGTAGCAGATATCTGGTATGTAAACTCTTTCCATAGCCCGTTTGAAGCATGTTGGAAGCCTGACCATGCAATCTTTGATTTCCAAAATTTGTCTCTTCTCAAATTTCAATTCTTTCACTTTGTACTAAGGCAAAATTTCAGTTAATGCATTTTCTATGTTGTTTTTCCATTTCTACGTCGCCATCTTCAACATGTTCCTAGGTCGCGTTTGTAAGGAGCATTCTGATTAGTCGATATAAATACTTTCTGGGGTCAAATATTACGTTATATAAGGTCACAAAAGTGAAACCTTGTAGGGTACTTGTTAGATCTTCGTATGTAGTATAACGTAGTATAACGAAATCCGAGATCTATATTTTAATTAGATTGTCCGGACGTTAATTGCTACATCGCGAAGCACTGTTGGTAGATATACCGTTCTTATATTTACACCAAAGACTAATTGACTAACTGTTCAGTTTAGTATTCAATGTTTATGAAAACAAAGTTTACTGCTCCTGACAGCATTGTATATCATTTATATTACATGAACACCATGTAACTATTTCAAATATACAGGTCTGTGAATTACTTGTAAACATCGCGAAACAAACACTATGTGTAACTCAAACTTGATTAAACTACAAATAGAGCATAGGTGGTTGGCTCTTTCACTAAATGCGACCGTGTATTTTGTGCTTTGTTGTTGTTAAATAAAATACACAATACGAATGAGAAACCCGTTGTTTTAATTTTATTTGAAGACATTTACTTGAAAAACTGACCTCAAAATTTTTTACACTGTACGATTCATTCTCTTTGTAGTTTGTTTTCTTTCTTTAGTACCGTTCGTTGTACATTCTTGTACTGTTCGTTGTGCAAAAGCCTATCAATACGGTAGAAATATGTATGACACGGCGTGACAAATGTTCAAAGCTTTTTTAAGCGAGTTATAAAACTTTTCAAAGAAAATTCGTCGTAGAAAAACGTTATATTCATGGATGTTCTGCTCCAGTAATTTTTTCGGATCCATTGTCACGGAATAGAAGTTCCTTCATAATATAAGTTCCAAAAGGAATATATATTCTGGAATATTATTTCCACAGGAATAAATATTACAGTATATGTTCCTAACGGAATAAATAGTACAGAATATTTGTTCCAACAGGAATAGATATTATGACATTGTTTATAACAAAGTTTCCAGTGGAACTTCTGTTAGGCGGAACAAATATACGTTGACACCATGACAAGCTAATAGCAAACTCACCAACAATATTTGAATATTCATGATATGAACGTGGTTATACCCGTGTATATTCAAGTAAGCATCTACGACTAGCTTGCATTTCAAATTGTAAATATCATCAATATTAAAGTCATTTAAAAACTATTTTCAGTTGTTGTATGTCGAATAATCATATAAAACGACAATGAAAATTCATCGCACTTCCAAAAATTCCACATCAGAAATGATTGCACTTACAGTAATAATTCATCGCATCTATAGTTAAAATGAATCGCATTTAGTAATCAATATTATGGATTCTGCTGTTTAAATAACACTTTATTTTACTTTAATCCTGTTATTATACATTAAAAAGTTATTCTAATGAAATTCTGTTAAAACATACATTCAAATCTATTATTTTGTATTTTCAAAAAGTAAACAAACGCAGTTTTTCCCATCATCCTTTATTCTACAATAGACATACTCGCATACAACAGTGAAAATGAACTAACTGGATTCGCACTTAATATACACTGATTAAGGGTGCATATTGTTTTCCGGTATGTTCGTACGTCCGTCTGTCCGGTCACATCGACTGAAAACTTAGTACACCAAATAGAGACCAAAGTAGGGTGGTGACAAAGATCTCGGGATTCGCTGAACATTGAATTATGTCCGATAGTGCGAGCGGGTCATGGGATCCAATGGACACGTATTCTTGTTTTAGAGTACTTTACGATATTTTAGCCCATTATATGTGGCCCTGAATCCAAAATGAAGACTTTCTAAATTGGTGGTAAACATTTATGGTGCACATCATTCAGGAGGGTCTGGATGGGGTTTACAGAATAGGAAATAATGCCCCTCCCCCAAATATAATGATAGTGAAAAGAGAAAAATAAGCAAAAAATAAAGAATAGAGAATAATGGGGCGCAAAGAATAAATAAAAAAATGAGGCATTGTAATAACAGTTAAAGAAATGAACGATGTAGGGGCCAGCTGAAGGCCGACTCCGGGTGCGGGATTTTCTCGCTGTGTTGAAGACCCATTGGTGGCCTTGGGCTGTTTTCTGCTCTTTGGTCGGGTTGTTGTCTCTTTGACACATTCCCCATTTCCATTCTCAATTTTACAGAATAAAAAGAATCATATGATTACAGATAAATTTAATCGAAAAATAATTTTATGAGCTTTTTACAGAATAAGCGTTGCTTTTAAAGAAAAAGGAAAATGACCCCCAAAATCAAAGAATACAGAAGGCCCCCTAATTAAGACCACCATTCAGATTTACATAAAGCAATAAAACAAATACACGATCGTTTCTGAAGATCCCTGTAGCAGGTTTGCATTCTTCAAGGATTTGTTTAGTACTAGATAAATCCTTACTTTCTTGTTTGGTACTATACAAATCCTTGCTTTCTTGTTTAGTACTATACAAATCCTTGCTTTCTTGTAATGTTAACACTAAAAAGTATATTGCTTCAATTGTAAATAAACAACCTTCTGAACGCTAATTTTACGACCTTTTTTCAATCAACATTAGAATTACAATACTGAAACTCCATTTTTTTCTAGCCTGTGACATGTATGGCCTTAAAAGTGAGACATAGCGATCCTAGATTCCGTCGTCGTCGTCGGCATCGTCAAAATAAAGGTTCAGTTTGTGGTTAAATTTTTTTTTCAGACATTAATAACTTTGTCAAACCTGTATTAAATTTCATAAATTTGGACAAGCTTCTTTTTTTCCAAAGACAGTATCTAGAGCAAAATTTAAAAAATATATTTTTTTATTTTTGTGCATTTTTCTGATCATAGTAAAATGAACTTATTTTTTTACTGTTAACATTTATAAATACAGTCGAAGGTTTAAGTTTTTTAGTCATTAATAACTTGTTCACACTTTCATGGAATTTTACTTAAGAGAAGCTTTTGTTGTGATCAAAAGACAGTATCCAGATCATTATTATGATTTTTTTCCATTTTACTGATAAAAGGACTTTTTTTTGCAGATAGTTTGGGTCAAGGTTAGTTACACATCAATTACACTGTCAAACCTTCATAGAACTTTATTAAACTTTGGTAGAAGCTTTTTCATGATCAAGATATAATTTCTGAAGCAAAATTTTGATTTTTTTTCATTTATAGTAGAAGCCAAGTTTCAGTGCCCATTCCCTGTGTTTATTATATAATATCTGGTTTTACTGTATCAATAATTTCCAGGAGTTCTGGATTTTTATATAGACTGGAAGTTTATGTTTAAGTTATTTAAAGACTTTTTATTTTTGTTTGTGGCATACTTTTTACGCGTACTTTCAAGCGTACCTCCTTAGGCTCCTTAGAGTATGTAAAAAAAGGCCAAATAAATATCCTATAATTTTTTCACACTCCCAATCGTTATTTATTTATTTTGAGGAACCCATGTGCAATCCTGTATTGTAAGTTAAAGTGCCCATTCAAGCGTTTTACTGACACTGATCGGAAACCAGCAAAATGGCCAGCACGACTTCAGGAACTGCCGACGGATGGAAGGCAAAATTAAACAAAGCTTTGCAAGAAAAGAATTTTTTCACCGATTTATTGCAAAAGATCGAAGACAAAACTGGCGTTCGACGCATGTATATAGTAATTGGTAAGATATAATTAACAGTATTCCCATTTGAAGGTGTGATGTGAATGGACCTTGACCGGTAACAGCTGTTTGTGGCCTTGAACCAAAGATCCAGTACATCGTTTAAATTAATTTCTATATATTTTAATTAAGAATTTTTATTGTGGAACAGTGTTGATTTTCATGTTTCATATTAAATTGCTTCACATTTGTAAAAATGGATCATTGGAACATGTATTCTGCACAGCAAGGTTATTCCCATCCATTGCTTAACAGTAGAATTTTGCATTTGGTTTCTTACATTGGCTCCACTGTGCCTTCAGAGCCTGAAAAACTGCTGATAGAGCTGGGAGCGTGTCTCCCCAGTGGAGACCGGATACCTAAAATGTGGATCAAAGGAGCCAGGAGACCAATGATAAAATAAGGATGGAGTCCATGTTCATGATGTTATCCCCCAATATTGTACATGTACATGTATGTTGTACTATCATTTTGAATTTCCATTTGGAAAAAAAGGAATGCTTAGATAAAACTGTATCAGTGTTGATTAATACATGTACTATGGTATGAAATGCTAGTATAATTTTCAATGCGCATAAGTCTCAAGTTGGTAATGGTATGAAAACCCACCTGCCAAGTTAAGTTCAGCTGTTCTGAGATTACTGGCAGATTTTTTTTGCAAAGTTTGTTGTATTTTTCATGCAAAATTATTGCACATACATGTAAGGAAATAAAAAATGATATGTTATGCTTTTTTATGCTCACAGAGCTATTATTGCTTGTATCCACTTCATTTGAACACTGGTTGATAGTTGTCTCATTGGCAATTATACCACATGTGTTCATCATATGATCTGAAACTGATTTTTTAGTCTAGGCAAACTGGTACATGTACAAAATGTATATATATAAACAAGTCTAAATTGAAAACAACGTTCAAACCTATGATTGCATTGGATAAAAACCGCAATTTTTATAGGTGTGCATGCAAAACAAATTTCTTGTTAGAGGGGTCTAAATACAGCACAAACAACATTTTCCAAAAGACCAAAAAAGTGAAAAAGTATATTTTAACAAAACGCATTTGACTAACAGGTCGAACAACAAATGTTCTTAAACCCTGCTGACTGCCATTGGCAATTGCCAAATAAACGGATCACCGATGTAATAAATGGATCTTAATTATAAATTTAATACTAAACAGAAAACAATAACCTTGCGGAAAAGATGGTATACCGCAAACAAAAGGTGCAAAGGTTTTTGTACACCATACCTGGATTTCGACAATTAATGTCTCTTCAGTGATGTTAGGAATCTAAACAGTATTTGGAAAGCCATACAATTTACCTCAATTTAGGATAGACTCTTGAATTTTCAGGAGTCAAAATAGGATGAACGGATCATATAAACCCGAAGGCAAATATAATACAAGCCCAAACGAAAAAATATAAACAAGTCTAAATTGAAAACAACGTTCAAACATATGATTGCATTGGATAAAAACCGCAATTTTTATATGTGTGCATGCAAAACAAATTTCTTGTTAGAGGCAGGGGTCTAAATACAGCACAAACAACATTTTCCAAAAGACCAAAAAAGTGAAATATATGTATGTTAAGTAAAATATTGTGTCAATTTAAGTACATTGTGTACCTGTAATATCCAGATAAAAATGAATTACCAAACTCCCAATTTTTAACCTCGGTTTCTCAACAAAAAGTATCTTACGTTTGTTTTATGATTTTTCAAAGATGGGACCTTCTCGAAATTACAAAAAAAACCCAATAAAATTTGAAAACCGTATCATCTCCCCTTAAGACATTGTAAGATTACATGTACATGTATGAATGTATTATTATATTATTATGAAACATAATTAGACACATACAGATCATTATATTATATGGTTTGGTTTCTTCCTTATTGAGTTAACCTTCAGGCAACATTTAAAACCTGTTTGATTAAAAACACATATATCCACATGCCAAAACTATGTACCACATTTTCTCCCTAGGTCAGTTTGACACAATATTTTTTCTTTTACTTGTAATGATTGTAAAATCAAATGCATAATTTTTTTGTGTATTTTGAGAAATTAAGAATCATGTACGTTTACCATAAATGATCTCATGGATATGAAAATGGTTAAAAGTTATTATTATGAAAATATATAAATTAAATGATACAGAAAATAATTTAATGTAAGGTCACTTTTTGGTCCCACATGCATGAATTCAAATATCAAAATTAAAGTATTATACATAGAAATCTATAATTAACTTATATGCAAAGAAGTGAGGTGTTGGTGGTTGATGTAGTCTCTTGTAGAGCAATCGCCTATAAAAAAAAATTTCCAAGAAATAAATAAAAATTTTAAAAAATCACTCTCTCTATGAGGCCCCATATTTTTTGGAGCTGGTGTCCAATGAACAACACATCAAATTGGTGTGGCCTTAGCATCCTTCTTATTTTGAAGATGAAATGATATCATAGAACTGATTTTTTCAAAATACATAAAACATTATTATTAAACTTATGATTTTATAATGAAACATATGCACATATATATGGGATCTAATTAAAAGAAATTCCTATTTTCAAATGTTTGATAATCTGTTTCTTGTGTTTACAAAAGCTGTCCCCCTTTGGCATATTACCATTTGAAATTAAGCAATAGAAATGGTCCAGGAACAATTTATTACGGAAGGAAAAAATTACCAAGTTGGCATATTTTTTAAAATTTTTTTTTATGTTACTAATGTCTATAGTCATTAAAGTTTAAAAGTACAGATTTCATGTATTGTATGTCGTCTTTGTTCCAAGCTTTATCACTTTCCAGTCAACATCTGGTAATACAAAAGGTGACAGTGTGCTTTAAAAAGAAATGTTTCTTATCAGTGTATTAATACAGATTATAGCATAAGTACTCTGAGTCTTCTACTCTTCTCTCTTTATATTGTCCTTGACTTGATTCTCCTTTAGTTACCAAGGTTAAAGAGATTTTAAACAGAATTAGAAGAAATGTCAGGCTTGCTCATTTTTTGTTTTGGAAGCCCTGAAATGGGAACCCTTTTCTTTAGTTCTGAACTGGAAAAAAAATCATATAATACTAATAGAGAGACAATTTTGATGAAGTTGATATTTGTTTATACACCAGTACAATGTATTGGTAAATTCATATTGATAACTTTTAGGCAATAAAATAATTTTTATGACAAAAATGAAAAACATTGCAGTGGAACATTGAACAATTACATATATATGATGAAATTTCAAGTGTTGATTGTGTTGTGCAAAGAGTTTTGTGAGAACAGAAGGAAATTTAAGGGTTGATACTTTTTTCCATAAAACTCGAGAATTACAGGAAAGTAGAACCATTTTAAAGTAAGCAAACTAAATGCTGTTGCAATCAGACTTAATTGATTGTCAGCTTTCTATTTAGATCACCGGCAATGACTGGTAAATGATATAAGGCTTCTAAATTGATAATATATTCAATTTTAAGGGCTTCTGAAATATTCATTTTTTATTTCATTAGAAAAATGAAATGTAAAATTTTTTGATTTTTTGTTTGTTTGTCAGAAAGTAGTTATTTCTTCTTTGTGAATTGAACTCACATAACAGAACTGCACCCCTGCATTGCTTATATCCATTTCACTGTTTCAATGTGTATACTCCTATTTTGTCAAAGTGTTAAAAAAAAAGTAAAATCACAAAAATACCGAACTCTGAGGAAAATTCAAAACAGAAAGTCCCTAATCAAATGGCAAAATCAAATGACAAAACACATCAAACGAGGGATAACAACTGTCATATTCCTGACTTGGTACAGGCATTTTCTTATGTAGAAAATGGTGGATTAAACATGGTTTTATAGCTAGCTAAACCTCTCACTTGTATGACAGTTGCATAAAATTCCATTATATTGACAACGATGTGTGAACAAAACAAACAGACACAGTAGGCAAGAATTTCAGAATTGGGGTACAGCAGTCAACATTGTCTTATAATCTTAATCACTATAAAAACAAACAAATATGTAACAAAGAAACATGATTGATTATGAGCAGTCTACACAAATGCAGGGTTCTCAAAGTTCAACTATTGAGTATTCAAAGGTACATTGCACAAGATATTTTCACTGCCTATTGATTAACTTACACATGTAGAAATGAATTAAGAAATACCGGTATACAAGTCGAAAAAATATATTTAAGGGATGTCATAACAAATTTAAATATTTTTTAATGAAACAAGTGCTTTATTAATGTCACAATATCATTTATGTAAAACAGGTCCTTAAGAACCCTGAAAATGTATTATGGTATTAAAAGACTTCCTAGTATTTATATAAGTAATATATTCTAACGTCTTGTATCTCTTTTCAATTTTAGCTCTGGCAGCATTTTTGGGCATTTATTTAATGGTAGGATATGGAGCACAGTTTGTGTGTAATTTTGTTGGATTCCTCTATCCAGCTTATGCATCGTAAGTAGAAGTTATTGGTGTATACATTTATTGATGCACTTAAACATGTTAATAGATAGAAACAAATTGGAAAATTTATATGAATTGCTTTATATATATATATATTGTTACAATAAATGAAAACTTTTGGTTTGTTATAAAGACATTACTTAGTTTTGGATAAAAATAATAGACATGAATAAAGTATGCTTGAAAAATGTGAAAATTTTAATGAATTGAAATTGAAAATATCATTGTTTTTATAACAGAACTTAATTTACATTGAGCAAATTTAAATGTTTTTAAAGTAGGAAAGATTATTTTGATATGATTTCACACATCAGATAACAATTCACAAGTTGTATTTAAAATCCTCAGCATGTCAGGTACTTGTACAATGTACTTCTTTAATGACTTATCCTATACCACTTCATATTGGTGTGTGTCACTATTCAAAGAGTTTAGTACAACTTGATTTAAACAGTGCTTGGAAAATTGTCATACACATATATATTCATCTAAAATGTACAAACTCTATTATGAGTTCTTGTTATTTAATTTGATACAGGACTTATAGTTTATATAAAATAATTCCATCAATAAAAACTGATTTAAAAAAATATTTGAAACCCAAGAAACTTGACATATTTTGAATGTATGCGTGTACTTTCCCATTCTCATCAAGATTATTTTAGTTTGTAAGATAATTAAAAAAAATGTCCTTGTTTGATTTTGATTCATACATAGATTTACTTATGCCTTTAAATGCCTGCAAATTTCAATACACATGCACATGTATTTACCAAAATAGAATTGTATAAAGTAATAAAGATTTGAACTGAAAGAAGAAATGGGATTATATTTTGATTGATAAATGACTTCTTGGCATAATGCTTCAATGAAACATAATGTCAAGGTTTAATTCAGAAAGGTATCATTGTAACGTTGACCATTGAACTGCCAAAAGTAAAATGAAACTAGTATGAAATGTTTTATGTCTCAGAGTAAAAGCCATAGAGAGCAGTCAGAAAGAAGATGATACACAATGGTTGACATACTGGGTGGTTTATAGCTTTTTCGCATTGGTTGAGTTCTTCGCTGACATTTTCCTGTTCTGGATCCCATTTTACTGGTTTCTGAAGGTTTGTATATCAGAGAAAAAGAATATATCATATGGCTTTTTCAATATCACCCAAGGTACCAATATAATCCCGATAGCTTTGCTCTTTGGATTATATTGGTTGAGGGTAACTTTGGTGAGTGATTTTGACAAAAAACCATATCATATAACACTACATTGAATACCTAAATTAGATGAATTTCACATGACTTGACGTCTCTGCAACCATGACTGAAATCAGTAGATGACGTTATACAGAATAGGGATTTGAAAAAACCTTTGCAACTGTGACTTATATGATGGTGGGTTATATCAATAGCATCACAATGGCTGATACAACATGACAGCCATTGATTGTATTACACATACAATTTACTTGTATTTACTACTGAGCATATAATAATACATGTATATTTTAAATGAATGAAAAATACACAGTAATTGTAATGTAAAAAAAATTAATGTCGTAGTGGTCAAAGTGTAGAAAATGAACAGGTCTGGTATATATGCATTTATTTCATATCCATTATCAATTTGTTCTTGTCAAATCACTACTAAAAAGCAGATATGAAAACATGAAGCCTTGGCCAATTGATTGAATATTTATGAATAAAAGTAAATGGGGTATATATGTCATATGTCATAATTTTATAACAAAGGAGAGGGGACCGTTACAACACAATTGTGTGCTTGTACATCGACATATGGATAGGCGAGAGATTAAATTTTTGTAAATAAGTTATCTTTACAAACAATGATGTTACAGTGTGTTAATCAGACAAAAATGTTGTCTTAAACAGTATCAAACAAGGTCATTTCTTGAATCGTTCAGAAATTTAAAAAAAATAAAGTATATTGTCTTAAACAATTATGAAGATAGTTTCTGCTTTTGGTAACCATCTACAACAATTTAAGAATAAGCAAAAGAGATATAAATATTTTCATAGACATGGAGAAAGCAATGGCTAATTGTCCAACAGATCCTCTGGCATTATTAAACTGTTTGTAGAAATTGCTGAAATATTAGAACTGTTCATTGTAGTGTGTGTTCTTAGTATGGTGTATGGCTCCTATTGCTTCCAATGGCTCCCAGATGATCTACCATCGTCTGATCAAACCTATTGTCCTCAAGTACCAAAACAAAATCGATAGTGCTATCGACAAGGCTGCTGATAGACTACAAGAGGGTAAGTGACAATCACAGAAAGGGGAATATTTATTCCATTTTATCTGTAAAGAAGTGGTTAGGTAAATGGTTTAACTTAAAGTAAATAACATTTTATAATTGAATGTTGGGGAAAATGAAAGGAACAGAAATTAATAATAGAACAGGGTTACTTATCAAGTCCTATTATTTTAATTTGTTTCACTTTTTGGGGACAGAACAGACTATTTAATTGTTACATATTTTCAATTCTTGTTCAATTTTAAAATAATTTGAGAAATGGAATAAAGCATTTAGCCAATAGGGCAACATGATAACATATAATTGTTGGAGATCACCAAAGAAATAAAATCAAGGGAAGGTAGATCTTATAGAAAAATTCTTTTAACCATTTGAAAATATTTGTAAATTTTTTAATACTCTACAAAAATCAATATATCTCAATTTTATAACAAAAAAACCTCTCAACTCAATTGTTGTCTTTCAATAATGTTGAAAAACATTTTTTTCCAAACAAATCTCATAAGTCGAAATTTGAGGTTAATTCTGAGAAAATAAGAGTGGTGATGTAAAATCAAGGTTGGATGAGCACCTGTGACCCTTAAATAGCCTATGGTGATCTCTGAACGTTTTTTTATAACCCTTTTATGAAGGTTCACATTTGTCCATAAACAATTGTGGAAAGTGCCAAGTTCAATTGAATTATGGCTGTTCCTTTGATAAATAAATGTTTTTATTTTTTGTGTTTGTGTTTTGGTTGGCCCTTTAATTTTACTCCATAGCAGTACCTATAGCTTATAATGTATATAATTTCAATTCAGCTACTAACATGTCTGCTTTAACCAACTTTTTTAATTTTCCTTGTGAAGTGTTTGGTAAAGCAAAACAAAAAGGTAAGTGATATGGTTACCATGGTTACAGAAATTATTTACCTGTTTCTGTTTACTCTAATAAAAAACTAACCAATTGATGATTTACTTAAATCTTTTTTCAAACTAGATACAAGATTTCAAGTTTTGTTTGTTAAGAATTCATTGCTTATGACTTACATGCAAGAGAAACATGTGTTAGGTCTAGGGGAATATTTGAAATTTATAGAGATAAGTAAGTTTATTTCAGTATATTTTTCTGGATATAACCAAGAACCAAGTCAAATTGTTAGACAGACTTTTCTCTTACATTTGTGATGATAAAAAGTCTGCAAAAAAATCATTCCTTTTTTAAATGAATTTGATCTTATCTACCTAAACAACTTGCAAACTAAAATGAATTTTTCTAACTTATAATATCTGAATCAAACATGCATCTTCTTTAATATAAATATAACAGCAATGATCTATAAGCATACATCTATTTCATGTTCTAATTGGTTAGCTTTTCAGTTATATTTATTTATTTGTTTTGTTTGCAATCCAGGCCTTGGTAACCTTTGCACTTGATTATCCAACTATACACTATAGTTCTTAAACCACCAAAGGCTTGTTAAAAGGCTTTATAGTTTTTTTTAAACTAAACCATGTAAAACAGACAAGTTTTTAGTAGAAGGTATTAGATAAAAGCTTGATGGCAAAAGCTTGGTAACTTAGGAACTTCTATTCACTTATTAAAAATATTGGCCAGCTTGGGTTACAAATTATTTGCAATTTTCAAGATCATATGATATATTGACAATTGCAATTTTTATATTCCTCTCAGAAACCACTAAACCATTAATTTGTGTGACAATGCTGTCTGTGATGAATTTTGCCTTTGATTCCCATCCTGCTGCTATAATGTATACCTAGATTTATCCTGAAATGAAATTTGTTCTAAAGTTTTGATAGAAAAATTGGGTGAACGGACAGAAAGTCACAGGACAAAAAGTCACAGGACATAAAGTCACAAATTTGATAGGACAAAAAGTCACAAATAATTTGTTGACAATTGTTTGAATATATAAGAGAAAGATCTTGAAATATTTTCTTTTTATTACATAAATTCATTTTTAAGTTTAGGAAATTGTTCATAAGCCTTGATAAATAAAAAGTTATTAAATTTTAATCATGCAAAGGATATATATTTCTTGGCACAATGAAGCTTTTAAGTACCAAGCCACTTTGACATTTTGTTTTCATAACAATTATTTGATCATTATTGATATTTATTGAAAAAATGTTAATTACAAAGTTGCTTCGTATATAATAGTTCAAGAAAAAACAAAAAAAATATTTTTTAAATTAATGTTTTCTTGTTTAAAGAAAAATAATCTCAAAACTGAATTGTGACTTTTTGTCCTGTGACTTTTTGTCCGTGACTTTTTGTCCTGTGACTTTCTGTCCTACATTCAAAAATTGGACCATCCTGATGCTATTAGTTACAAGATGCTTTTTGTCGAGCCTGCGACTTTTGTCGCAGAAAGCTCGACATAGGGATAGTGATCCGGCGGCGGCGGCGGCGTTAGCTAACTTCTTAAAAGCTTTATATTTTAGAAGGTGGAAGACCTGGATGCTTCATACTTTGTTGTAGATGCCTCATGTTATGAAGCTTCCGTCAGTCACATGTCCAATGTCCTTGACCTCATTTTCATGGTTCAGCGACTACTTGAAAAAAAAGTTCAGATTTTTTGGAATGTTAAATTCTCTCTTATTATAAGTAATAGGATAACTATATTTGGTATGTGCGTACCTTGCAAGGTCCTCATGCCTGTCAGATAGTTTTCACTTGACCTCGACCTCATTTCATGGATCAGTGAACAAGGTTAAGTTTTCGTGGTCAAGTCCATATCTGAGATACTATAAGCAATAGGTCTACTATATTTGGTGTATGTAATGATAGTAAGGGGTACATGTCCAACTGGCAGGTGTCATCTGACCTTGACCTCATTTTCATGGTTCAGTGGTCATAGTTTAGTTTTTGTGTTTTGGTCTGTTTTTTGTCGAGCCTGCGACTTTTGTCGCAGAAAGCTCGACATAGGGATAGCGATCCGGCGGCGGCGGCGTTAGCTAACTTCTTAAAAGCTTTATATTTTAGAAGATGGAAGACCTGGATGCTTCATACTTTGTATATGGATGCCTCATGTTACGAAGTTTTCGTCAGTCACATGTCCAATGTCCTTGACCTCATTTTCATGGTTCAGTGACTACTTGAAAAAAAAGTTCAGATTTTTTGTAATGTTAAATTCTCTCTTATTATAAGTAATAGGATAACTATATTTGGTATGTGCGTACCTTGCAAGGTCCTCATGCCCGTCAGACAGTTTTCACTTGACCTCGACCTCATTTCATGGATCAGTGAATAAGGTTAAGTTTCCGTGGTCAAGTCCATATCTCAGATACTATAAGCAATAGGTCTAGTATATTCGGTGTATGGAAGGACTGTAAGGTGTACATGTCCAACTGGCAGGTGTCATCTGACCTTGACCTCATTTTCATGGTTCAGTGGTTATAGTTAAGTTTTTGTGTTTTGGTCTGTTTTTCTTATACTGTATGCAATAGGTCTACTATATTTGGTGTATGGAATGATTGTAAGGTGTACATGTCTAGCTGGCAGGTGTCATCTGACCTTGACCTCATTTTCATGGTTCAGTGGTCAAAGTTAAGTTTTTGAGTTTTGGTCTTTTTTTCTAATACTATATGCAATAGTTCAACTATATTTGGTGTATGGAAATATTTTATGATCTATATGTCAGTCACGCAGGTTTTATTTGACCTTGATATAAAAATAAGATGTGGTATGATTGCCAATTAAACAAATATCCACCTAAGACCAATGTAAAACAATTCAAAACTGGAAAACTAATGGCCTTATTTATGTAAAAAAACAATGAACAAAAAACAGATATATGATAAATAGCAACAACTGACAACCACTGAATTACAGGCTCCTGACTTGGGACCTGCACCCACAGAATGCGTACAGTGTCAAACATGTTTGCAATGCCCTTCCCTTCCACTCACCTGAGACAATGTTTGTAAGGAGTTTTGTCCCTTTTAAAATTTTGTTGAATAATGTTTGATATAAATCTTCAAATACATCTTTAAATTCAAAACTGCTTGATCAGCATGTTATTCAAAGACTTTTACCTTCCTACCAAATTACCAGAATATTAACTTCATATATGTTTAAATAAGCACCTATATTCATCGTCCTATAGAATAAAAAATACTGACAAATTAATGCAGTTTATATTCTAAATGTAATAGTACTCATTGTTCAGTTGTTAAACATGTACATGTCTAGTTGTCAATTCAAAACGAAAATATTGCATGTTACACTTAAACTGCTCCCTAACATATAAAGCATCTTTCTTTTAAACATCTAATGGAAATCTGATCTAGCCTGTAGATGCCTTTGGCTTACCATCTGCTTTTATTTACTTCATTTTAGTTGTTTTAAAAAATCTCAAATGTTATTTATTCAAACATTAAATTCAAGCTGATTTATAAACTTGTTGCCCAAGAAGACTGTGTTACCGATTGCTATTAGTCCAAGTCCATTGCCCATGTGTGTTGTTATACATTTTTGTACTTTCAAAATGTCTAACTTTTTTTTTCAAACAGCTAGATCATTTTTAACAGCATGAGGGCCATAATGTTTAAATAAATCCTTCTCGTACTTAACCACAGGAAATGACTTAGTTTTCAGCATCCTTCTGATAATGAAACAAAGAAAAAATATTTATTTAGATCCTCATTATAGTGAACCACAGATCCTTATTATACTGAACCACAAGTGTAAGATAAAGAGAAGATTAAAAACATGCTTATTATGTTAAATTTTAATTTCCCATTAATTGAGTGTAATATTATTTTTTTCAGTTGGTGATTTTGCTGAAGATATAGGAAGAGGAGCTGCTAATGATGCTATAAGGAAAAGAATGGCTGATGTCACTAAAGATGAATAAATTTGTGTGTAACCAAGAGGACTAATGCTCAACCTTCTTCATTTAATAATTGTACAACACCTGGATTTTTACTCTTAATTTTTGCATATCAGTTTTTTGTATTATTTAATTTTTACTAGATAATTTATCATCTTGTTTGCCTCCTGTTATTTATAGTACATTCCTTATTTCTGTTTTTAAGAAATGCCAACCATTTAATAAAATAAAACATGTTCAATTCATCCATTAGATGCTTTGGGTGCATTGGTTTACAAATTACATTAAAATGACAGAAAACATCATGAGCAAGAAAATGATAAAAATGACATTGGATTTTCACAAATATTACAAGTTAAATACATGTACAAAGTGCAAGAAAAAAATTATTAGCCTATTAAATAGCTTTAGATTTTCTTAAAAGAAAATACATATGTGCAAGTTTCTTATAATCATTTCTAGTGTTTCACAAGACTTAATATTTACTTTCACAAATGACTAATCATATCATTACATAACTTGTAAGTAAAAGTTTGAAGGATAAAACTCTGCAGCCGTAGTCAGTACAAAATAATATCTTTTTCTTTCAAACTACTTTGCATTAATTGGTAGTTTCAGAATCCAATGCAGTGATATTTTCCCACATGAACACCAAAACTTTGTGATTGGCTAACGTCCAAAACAACCAATGATGAGATATATATCCATCTTGGGGTACGAACAATGAAATTGCCTAAACTTCTTTATATTCTGAAAACTGTGAATTAGAAAAGTTGAATGTATTAAAGAAATGTAGATTTTTAACATGGAGAAGTGCAATAATATTGAAATATGTTTAAAGAAATGAACCTCTGTTTGATTTCTGTATTTTTTTGTTTGATTTTTCACCAGTTTGTTTATTCATCACAGAAACTGTAAAAAATATTTCTTTATAATTTATTGCCAGTTTATTGTTTACTAAAATTTTTACATTTTGTACATAGAATGTAATTATATTTAAGTGCTTGCCTGTGTGACCTGTACAGATATGTGGTTCTCCTATTTATATCAACTCTGAGCATTTAATGCCGTTTCTGTTTTATTTGGAATCTCAGCGTGAAATCTGAATAATGCAGTGCATTTATTCCTTTTTGCTCCTATTATGCTAGGTATTATTCCAAGTAACTAAATAAATATATTGAAGTATAATGCATATGATCATGACTATTAAATAGAAGATCTGAATAAAGACAGGGTAAAATATAATACTGCTCAATAATAGTTAAATAAAATTTTATTAAAAATCAAAAGAGTTGAGTAAAGAAAGAAATTTCTACACCTGACATCCATGATATAATAGGAATCATAATAATTTTGTATGTGAGATTGCTGTTATCTAGAAAAAGGGTGAAATTGAAATTGAGTAATTTGACACCAGGGGTAAAGAAATTGTTAAAAGATATGAATGAAGTTATCTCCCTTTATTTGAAGAACAATGATTAACAGAAACACTGCCACTTCATGTCTTTAGGCAGTGAGAAATTTTAGTCTCAAATCTAACTGTAACCAAGTGATGAAGCTGAGCTGTTAAATAACCTCGCTGAAATTATTGAGTGTCAGACATTTGTGTGTGTTTACTCATACTTAATTGGACAAGGGAGATAACATATTTTGGCTTTTTCTAGAAGTCATTTATTTTTAGCAAACAATGTAAAATAGTTAAATATAAAAAGGGCTGTGACATTTATATAAATTTAATGTAATGTTTGACTGTTGTTTTTAGTCTGTTTCAATCTTCTGACTATATATGAACTGAATGTTGTATCATTGTTAATTATTTCTAGTCCACATCAAGAATGTTTAATGAATTCTGTTTTCTTGTACTATGGTGCCTTATTAGAACATGAATAATCTAATTTAGCAGCTAATGGAATTTAAAAACATGCTCTTTGAAAGCATTCAACTGTGACTATATTATTAGTTCAGTTGTTTTAGAATTGGTAAATAGTGTTTGGTAGTATGAACATTTATAAATATACAAGATTAATTCAGTTTTTAAAAAGGTTTTTCTAACCCTCCCAAAAAACGAACAAAATTGAGTGAAGAATGGCTCAAAGCTATGTACTTTTGTTACAGTTCAAGCACAACTCTTTACCTCACCATACTATTTCTATGCACAATACAAATCTAGTGAAAATGAATCTGTGTATCATAATTCATAAATTAATGTTGTTATATTGTAAAAAATATAGTTTATAGTCATTCTCTATAAATGTGAAATTACATAATAATATTTATAAACTTTCAAAGTTATTCAGCATAGTACACATGTATATTACAACCTTGTTATGATGGAATTATTCACACAGCAAACATTCAGATGTTTGAGAGAGCAGAATCTGCTCTGTTTTGAAGATAATTTGAAGATATTTAACAAATAAGATAGATTTTAGGAAGATAAGGCAATAGCAGAGAACAAAATAAATTAAGAGAAATATAACAAGGTTTTAATATTAGATTTGATTCATCCTGACCATATTCCTCTGGTGAATGTTTTGAACCTTAGAAAAATTATTAAATTTATATACACCTGTTAATTTGTTTATTTCATGCCTCTCTTGTCTCATTGGAATGTTTTAAATATTGCCTACTTAGTGGTTAACCATTTTGAAACTTTCAAGAAAAGACTTCTCTGAAGTCACTGGGTCAGTCAGAATAAAAGTTAAAACCCAATGGGTCAACTATTGTGTATGGAACGAATGTTAGGTGTACATGTCAGTCTTTTTGTCTGCTATGTCATTTGTACTCTGGTGGAGAGTTTTTATACGACCGCAAAATTTTTTTTTCTTATATTGGTATGACATTGGTGGCGTTGGCGTCGTCCGAAGACACACTGGTTTTCGCACAATAACTTTAGTTTAAGTGAATGGATCTCTATGAAATTTTGCCATAAGGTTCAATTTCATATGAAAGATTTGACACCATATTTTAAATTCTATTATAAAATAGATTAAGTTAGCACTATGGTAAATTTAAATGGGTAATTATGGTTGCAAACTCCATTGGAAATCTGAATTGAGATCATGACCATGTCTTGAGGTAAAGAATTTTTTTTGGGGAAAAAGGGGGGGGGGGGGTAAAAAGAAATTGTGGAGGGTCAATTTTTTCTCATTTCAGATTTCAGAAATTGCACAAAAGCCAAAAAAAAAAGGGGGGGAGGGGGGGTAATTTTTTATTTTATTTGTGGGGGAGGGGGGGTCAATTCGCTATGTTCAGCAAAGTGATTTGCTCAAAAGCCAAAAATTGAATATTAATTCAAATCATATAACCAATTCTAAGTTCTTTGACTACAGTTATTCGTGTCAGAAACCTTTTATGTGTCAAAAATTTAATTACAATCCAAATTCAGACCTGTATCAAGTGCGAATATTGCGTCCATTTTTGCCTCAACTGTTCAGGGTTGGACCTCTGTGGTCGTATCCAGCTGCGCTCGGCGAAGCAATTTATTTCATTGGCAATCTTACCATATCTTATTACTATATTGCGGGTTTCATCTGACCTTTACTTTATTTTCATGGTATATTGGTCAATATTATGTATTTCTGTTAAGATCTATTTCTCGTGTATTATTAGTATGTCAACTATATTTGGTGTATGGAAAGATTGTAAGATGTACAGGCACTACCCTTGTGTCATGAGCTTGTGTTATATAAAGGTATGAAGGTAAAAATAAATTCTGAGACAAGAGCCTGTGTATACATATATCCATCTGACCTCATTTTCATGGTTCATTGTCGATGTTTGGTTTTAAGATCAGATCCGTTTCTCAGATGCTTTAAGCAGTAGGTTAACTTAGTTTGGTGTATGCAATGATAGTAAGAAGAACATATCTGCCTGACAGGGATTTAACTGACCTTACAACAAGGAATTATTTGAATCTGGAATAATTTTGAATTCTGGAAAAGTGATAAGAAATGTATGCTGAAAACTAACCAAACTTAAGCAGATGGCTAGTCAAAAATACACCCTAAATGCTGAAACATTACAACTTGCTCATGCATTGTTAATTGTTTCTTTTTGACTTTTTAAAATTTTGATATACATTTAAGTATGTTACAAATCCAATGTAATAATTTTAGTCAAATTGGTGAACATGAATTTGACAGCTAATGCCACTTTAATTCTCTTTCTCAGATACTCATAGCAATAGGGCAACTATATTTGGTGTTTGGACGTGTGATGTGTACATGGCCAAAGAAAGAGGATGTAAACAACTCTTACAGCTCTTTTCATAATGCTAGCAAGACAAAGGTTTGTTTGGCTTGCTTGCTTGTTTGTATCAATGTTTGCTTAAGCATTGTAATTAAGATTGACATCTGCAAACAATATAAGTAGGCGGAGTTAAATCTGTGTAAAGGTAAATTTGATTATTTGATAATGTCCAATCAAATTTAAATATAATGTATTCAAGTTTAAATCCTCCTTTTTATCTTGTTTTCAGATGTCAATCTTAATTACAATGCTTCAGCAAACATTGATACAAACAAAGCAAGCAAGCCAAACAAACCTTTGCCTTGCTAGCATTAGGAAAAGAGCTGTAAGTCATCCCACAACATTGAGCCAAACCCATACTGGTTAGTAAGCTATAATAAGCTCCTGCCTGACAAAATTTGAAACAATTCAATAGATAAACAACAGCCTGATGTATGGTAGATACAAAAGGAAAACAAATATGACAGAAGCAACCAATGACAACCACTGAATATCAGGCTCCGGACTTAGGACAGACACATACAAAATGTGGTGGTGTCAAACATGTTTGTGATTGCTCGATTACCTTACAAATTCCATAAAACAAATCTAGTTTACTTTATGAACTATAAAGCTCATAAGTCATAACTTCAATCAATGGACCATGAAAGTCGTCAAGTGCATCCAGTTACAGACAATGATTTAATTCTCAAAAGATAGTTGACCTTTTAAGATTCATCAAGAGGAATTGAAAAATATGGCCGTGTTTACACCACAAAATCTACTACTAGTAAAGACAAACTGATGCATCCAGGAAAGTTTTAAGGCATGGCAGGACCTGGATATATAAAAATTATATGTAGTCCTGTTTCAGAAATTTAAAAACTTACCTGGATTTTGATGTGCATTTTTTTCCAGTCTGCAGAATTAAGGTAGCAAAATAAACAAACACATGAGTTTTATTTGATACGGTCCACTCACACAGTTTAAATTGCCTATTGTTTGCAGATGTCTATTGTCCATCTATTGTCCATTTAAATCAATACTACTCACAACATTTATTATATGAGGGGAGCTTCTTAAACCTCTTTCGCAAATTAGTTAATTTTGGCACCTTCTGCAGGAAAAAAAAAATGAATAGGAAAATCCAGAAAAGTTTATAATTTTCTGAAACATAAAATGCATTTAAAATTTAATTATCTAATTCCTGCCATTCCTTAAAACTTTTCCAGGTGCACAGGTTTGTCTGTACTCAGAGTAAAATGTGTGGTGTAAATACGGCCATATTAGCCAAAAGGTTATGATGAACCTCAAGTTGTATCATCAATAACCAGATGAAGGGAAAAGATGGTTGTTAATGTTCAGAAGTCTGTGGGATTGGCTTTGTCACCAATTACCATTGTATCTAAGGTCAACATAAATTCAAATTTGCTTTTGTTTAGTTAGCAACCAGAAAAAAACCCTCAACAGAATAGCTGTTGTATCTTATGTTAGGCTCAAACAATTTATGGTGCTGTGGCTAATGGAGTAACCCTACCTTAAATGTTATGAAGACTGCAGTATCAGTTACATAGCAAAGTACTATTGTACCAAATATCTTTTGTCTTATTTGCAAAGTTGCTTTAGTTTTGTTGGTAACAAGTAAAACAAAAACTAAACAGCCTTTGTAATAGTTGTATCACTAAAGAAGATTCACACAGATTTGTAAAAATAATGAAAAGTAAAATTTATTTATCTGTGGTATAGAAGCACATGTGTTTGTTTATTTTGATGTTTTAAAAAAATCAGGAGTCATATAGACAATTTTTATTGGTTCTATTTAATAGTGTTTTACCACCTTGGTTATGCCCCATTTGCATATTTGCAAATTTTAGTTTTAAATCTTACATTAAAACTTAATCATTCGAAGTTTGACTGCAGACAGCTAATATAAAAATAAGGAGATGTGGTATGATTTCGAAAGAGACAACTATCCACCAAAGTTCAAATGAAGTGGGTGCAAGCAATTATAGGCAACCATAAGGCCTTCAACAATGAGAAAAACCCACACCATATAGCTAAGCAAAGTCCCATCCACCTATCATTTAAATGATGGACACTTATATGTGTTTATATATTGTTTCATGTGTTCTCTTTTCTTTTTTTTATAGTTAGATTTTGTGTCAAGAGTCTAATAAAACAGGAACATTTTTTACTTGTTTTTTTCAGTGAAGAGGCTGTATTTGTGTGAACTTTTGTGTTTTTGCCTTAAAGGCAGCAGTAGCGTCACCAATGTATTAATTTGTGATAAGGTCAGTTTAAGGGGAACCACTAGTAGTAGGTCATTGATATTTAGTATGCAGTTGTATTATTCAATTGACTTTAAAACTTTTGCATAGTTTACATGTTAAAGTTTGTTTTTAGGTTAGTTTAAAGGGATTGATTGATTGTTGGTTTAAAGTTTAAAGGGAGCCACTTATGATAAGTCAATGATTTTTGGTATGATTTGTATTCACATTGGCATTATTCATTCCCAGAGATTATTTGGTCGAGCACCTTCAGTCATGGTCCATTGACCTTGAATGTTTTGCATAGTTATGCCATTTTAATCTCAACAATTGCATTCTACTATCAAAATTACATAATGGTGAAACATATGTTCAGAGTTCATTTGAAATAAGATTTATTGATTGTTGGTGTTAACACCACTTTCAGCACACTTGGTTATATTATGGCAGCCAGCTTTTGTTGGTGGAGGTATATAATCAAGGTAAAAACCTTAAGCATACAATGTGTATCTTGTTTAAAGTTGATGTGACCTCACCTGCATGGTATATATTACTTTAACCAAACATTCTTACCAGATATAGGATCAACTAACGAACAAACATGCAGAAAACATCATATACCTCTACTCTAGTTGGCCAGGCTTAAACATATGGCATCATGAATATATTGAAGATGCTCTATTTTCAAAAGATATTTATTTTCAAATGGAACTTATTTGAAATCACAGAAACACATATATAAGAAAACTGTCTCTAATTGTCCATAATACATCTTTTTAGAGGTATCTTTCTTTGATGTTATGAATCTTTTCTACCTGAAAAAAAAACAAACCATATTGCATAATAAATAATGCATTACTTAAAACCTTATGCAGTTAATTGTATATATATATATTAAAAAACATGTATATAAAAATGAAATGCAAGATTTGTTCTCCCTATGGTAATTGTGACAAAATTATGAGAACCATTACACGGAGTTTAAATTCTTATTCCATTGATTTTAATATAAAACAGACTGTGGATTGACTGTGTGTGTTTTATATTTTGCTCTGATATAAATGTACACTTTAAATACTTGTAAGACAAATTTTAAGCAATATTATTCATGCCTATTTGTTGTGTTGTTCTATTGTTTAATGATTGTCCTTCCCCTTCCTTCCTTCCCCCCTCCCCCCCCCCCCCCCTTGTAGTTCTTTTAGAAGATAAGTTCAACATAGTCTATTAATATTATGAAGAGACATCCATTAGATTGATTTCAATGAGTAATTGCCTACCTATTAAACATTAAGTTAATGAATATCTTCAGTATCTACAAGATAAAGCTCTGGTGTGTCGTAACCATGCTCTTCTGGTGTGAAAACTCCTAACTCATCTAATGTTGGTCTAATTTCTTGTACTATATACGGCCAGATGGCAGTATCAGCTTTTGCTTTCTCCTACAAATACAGCAGTATTAAAGATTATCAACACAATTAATATCAGCCTTTGCTTTCTCCTATAAATACAGCAGTATTAACAAGCATTCTGAGAGTATTGCATGGCAATACATAGTCCCCTATCAGGTAAAAATTCATTATACTGGAACCATAACTCTGCACAAAATTATCAGATCGAAACAAAATTTCTAACTTGATCTGTATAACTTGTCATGATAAAACTATATACCAATTATCAATCAATATCTTCAAGCATGATGAAAAAAAGTGTGGAAAACACTTTAACATTAGATATGATTAATAGTTCTCTAAAATTAGATATGAAGTAAAACCGTGTATATCTATTTTCAAATTATAATCAAATATAACAAGAAATGATTGTAACAGGATGCTGTTACGAAGTCTCCCAAACGAAGCTCCAATAATTCGTAATTCCCAGTGTCGCCTGACATTGGACAAAGTCCAGTGAAAATTGGTTTGTTCCAGTAAAGTTAATGCATTAGTGATGCCTGGGGACTAACCCTGTATATCATTCAAATCATCTTGGCATGACAAACCAGAATATATATGGTTTAGGGGTGGGGATCTCGACCATTTACAAGATACTAGAACATTGGGGGTGGGGGGAAACCCAGTGGGGACTGACCATATACGTCATTCAAATGTTCTAGACATGATGAACAGGAATATATGTGGTTTAGGGGTGGGGATCTCGACCATTTACAAGATATTAGAACTTTCTCAAATGGCAGGAGGTCGTGATGACCCCTGGGGACTAACCCTGTATATCATTCAAACCATCTTGGTATGACAAACCAGAATATATATGGTTTAGGGGTGGGGATCTTGACCACTTACAAGATATTAGAACTTTCTTAAATGGCATGGGGTGGGGGTGACCCCTGGGGACTAACCCTGTATATCATTCAAACCATCTTCGCATGACAAACCAGAATATATATGGTTTAGGGGTGGGGATCTTGACCACTTACAAGATATTAGAACTTTCTTAAATGGCAGGGGGTGGGGGTGACCCCTGGGGACTAACCCTGTATTTCATTTGATGTGCTTTATCATGACAAACCAGAATATATATGGTTTAGGGGTGGGAATCTCGACCATTTACAAGATATTAGAACTTTCTCAAATGGCAGGGGGTCGGGATGACCCCTGGGGACTAACCCTGTATATCATTCAAACCATCATAGCATGACAAACCAGAATATATATGGTTTAGGGGTGGGGATCTCGACCATTTACAAGATATTAGAACTTTGTCAAATGGCAGGGGGTCGGGATGACCCCTGGGGACTAACCCTGTATATCATTCAAACCACCTTAGCATGACAAACCAGAATATATATGGTTTAGGGGTGGGGATCTTGACCACTTACAAGATATTAGAACTTTCTCAAATGGCAGGGGGTCGGGATGACCCCTGGGGACTAACCCTATATATCATTCAAACCATGTTAGCATGACAAACCAGAATATATATGGTTTAGGGGTGGGGATCTCGACCATTTTCAAGATATTAGAACTTTCTCAAATGGCAGGGGGTCGGGATGACCCCTGGGGACTAACCCTGTATATCATTCAAACCACCTTAGCATGACAAACCAGAATATATATGGTTTAGGGGTGGGGATCTTGACCACTTACAAGGTATTAGAACTTTCTTAAATGGCAGGGGGTAGGGATGACCCCTGGGGACTAACCCTGTATTTCATTTAATGGATTTTATCATTTAGAACATTTTCAATTAAAAAGATTGTGTCTATCACAAACGGTTTTCAATTTATAATCATTTGAAAATTTAAAAAAATAAAATCCCATAGGGTTCTATAGTAAAACCCTCTTTTCTTTTTGCCCCTCAAAGTACCCCTTTATAAACCCCATTGCACAAACAAAACCCTGATTGCACCACTAGACATGTTAGTCTAACATATTGTGAAACCCTAAGTTAATCTGACAAGCGGTTTTGGAGAACGGGTGCGGACAAGTTCAAATTTAAAAGCGGCGGAAGAGGAAGAGGAAGAGGAAGAAGAATAATAATAATAATAAGAACTGAGCAAAAACAATAAGTCTTCCCAAACTTCGTTTGGGAGACTTAATTAATAGTTCCAAATATTTTTTCTTTTATTTGTCACAAACTAATATAGATTTATAACTTATCTATAAAATGTCAACAATTTTTATCTACACAATATAATGTAAATATAGATTATTAACTTATTAAAGGATTTCACTTCATAATTTTTTTTATATATATATAGCATTCAGAAAATAAGTTTAAACAAAATAACAAACAAACCTGCCAAAAAATTCTTCAAATAATTTACCGTAGAATGTCTTTTAAATAAAATGCTCCGCTTGGCGCAGCTTGATACAACAGCAGAGGTCGAACCCTGAACTGTTGGGGCAAGTATGGACACAACATTCAAGCTTGATACAGCACTGAATTTGGAGTGTGATTAAATATTTGACACAGCATAGGTTTCTGACACAGAATGAATGTGGTCTAAGAACTTAAAATTTTTTAATTTACCTATTCAAACCATATCATTATTATTTGCTTTTATATATAAATCAGAAATAACCATTTTAAAACAGAAAATTTTAAAGAAAAATAAAATGCTCCGCAGGGCGCAGCTTGATACGACCGCAGAGGTCGAACTCTGAACAGTTGGGGCAAGTATGGACACAACATTCAAGCTTGATACAGCTCTGAATTTGGATTGTGATTAAATATTTGACACAGCATAGGTTTCTGACACAGAATGAATGTGGTCTAAGAACTTAAAAATTTTAAATTGGACATTCACCTATTATGGTCCAATATCCAAAATCTAAATACATGGTTAGATTCAGCATATCAAAGAACCCCAAGAATTCAATTTTTGATGAAATCAAACAAAGTTTAATTTTGGACCCTTTTGACCTCAATGTGGACAAAGTTGATAACGGGGCCCAAAAATCAAAAATCTAACTACATGGTTAGATTCAGCATATCAAAGAACCCCATATATTCAATTTTTGTTCAAATCAAACCAAAGTTTAATTTTGGACCCCGATTTGGACCAACTTGAAAACTGGGCCCATAATCAAAAATCTAAATACATGTTTAGATTCAGCATATCAAAGAACCCTAAGAATTCAATTTTTGTTAAAATCAAACTTAGTTTAATTCTGGACCATTTGGACCTTAATGTAGACCAATTTGAAAACGGAACCAAAAATTAAGAATCTAAATACACGGATGGATTCGGCATATCAAAGAACCTCAATATTCCAATTTTTGATGAAATCAAACAAAGTTTAATTTTGGACCCTTTGGACCTCAATATGGACCAATTTAAAAACGGGGCCCAAAATCCAAAAACTTAATACACGGTTAGATTCAGCATATTAAAGAACACCAAGAATTCAAGAATAAAACCCCATTGAAATTGGTCAAGAAATTAGCAATTTATACGAAGTATCTTCTTTTGCACAATACTGTGCAATTGAATATTTCTTGCTATTGCGCAATACTGCACAATTGACAATTTCTTGCTATTGCGCAATATTGTGCTATTGGATATTTCTTGCTATTGCGCAATACTGTGCAATTGAAGATTTCTTGCTATTGCGCAAAACTGTGCAATTGAAGATTTCTTGCTATTATGCAATACTGTGCAATTGAAAATTTCTTGCTATTGCACAATACTTATTATATAATAATTTACACATCCTGTTTGGTGTGTGTCTCCTACCATATCATTATTATTTGCTTTTAAATATAAATCAGAAATAACCAACTTAAAATGGAAAATTTTAAAAGAAAAAAAACCGAAAAAAACGAAAAAAAAAAAAAAAATCCCCCCCCCAAATTTTTTGAACCCCCTTATGATTCATCACCACCAAACTCAATCCCAGCCTTCCCTTTGTGGTATGGTACCTTGCAGTACAATTTCAGAGAGATCCATACACTTGAACACAAGTTATTGTCTGGAAACTAGAACAAGAGTGCACACGCTGAAATGTCTCGCCTTCTTTACTAATCATTGATATTATGTTGATAGTCCTAAATATAAAGCTTTATTACAACTGTCACATAAACTTAACATTAACCAAGAAAACTAAACATTGACCAATGAACCATGAAAATGAGGTCAAGGTCAGACGAACCATGCCAGGCAGACATGTACAGTTTAACAATTCTTCCATATAACAAATATAGTTGACCTATTGCTTATAGTTTAAGAAAAACAGACAAAAACACAAAAACTTAACACTGAGCAATAAACCGTGAAAATGAGGTCAAGGTCATATAAAACCTGCGCGACTGACATATAGATCATAAAATATTTCCATACACCAAATATAGTTGACCTATTGCATATAGTATTAGAAAAAAAGGCCAAAACTCAAAAACTTAACTTTGACCACTGAACCATGAAAGCGAGGTCAAGGTCAGATGACACCTGCCAGCTAGACATGTACACCTTACAATCATTCCATACACCAAATATAGTAGACCTATTGCATACAGTATAAGAAAAACAGACCAAAACACAAAAACTTAACTATAACCACTGAACCATGAAAATGAGGTCAAGGTCAAATGACACCTGCCAGTTGGACATGTACACCTTACAGTCCTTCCATACACTGAATATACTAGACCTATTGCTTATAGTATCTGAGATATGGACTTGACCACCAAAACTTAACCTTGTTCACTGATCCATGAAATGAGGTCGAGGTCAAATGAAAACTGTCTGACGGGCATGAGGACCTTGCAAGGTACGCACATACCAAATATAGTTATCCTGCTACTTATAATAAGAGAGAATTTAACATTACAAAAAATTTTAACTTTTTTTTTCAAGTAGTCACTGAACCATGAAAATGAGGTCAAGGACATTGGACATGTGACTGACGGAAACTTCGTAACATGAGGCATCCATATACAAAGTATGAAGCATCCAGATCTTCCCCCTTCTAAAATATAAAGCTTTTAAGAAGTTAGATAACGCCGCCGCCGCCGCCGGATCACTATCCCTATGTCGAGCTTTCTGCGACAAAAGTCGCAGGCTCGACAAAAATGTGTTTTTTGGCCCCCAATTCCTAAACATTTCGGGCAATTACCCCCAAACTCAATTCCAGCTTTCCCTTTGTAATATGGAACCTTGTAGTACAATTTCAGAAATATCCAAACACTTACACACAAGTTATTGTCATGAAACTTGAAAAATGCTTGTTTTTTGCCCCCTAATTCCTAAAATTTTGAGGCAATTACCCCCAAAATCAATCCCAGCATTCCCTTTTGTGATATGGAACTTTGTGGTACAATTTCAGAGAGATCCATACACTTGAACACAAGTTATTGTCTGGAAACTAGAAAAATGCTTATTTTTGGCCCCTTATTCCTTAACGTTTCGGGCAATTACCCCCAAACTCAATTCCAGCTTTCCCTTTGTGATATGGAACCTTGTAGTACAATTTCAGAAAGATCCATACACTTACACACAAGTTATTGTCATGAAACTAGAAAAATGCTTGTTTTTTGTCCCTTTTTTGGCCCCTAATTCCTAATATTTTAAGGCAATTACCCCCAAAATCAATCCCAGCATTCCCTTTGTAATATGGAACCTTGTGGTACAATGTCAGAGAGATCCATACACTAACACACAAGTTATGTCTGGAAGTTACAAAAATGCTTATTTTTGGCCCCTAATTCCTTAACTGTTGGTACCATAACCCCCAAAATCAATCCCAACCTTCCTTTTGTGGTATTGAACCTTATGGTAAAATTTCATAGAGATCCATTCACTTAAACTAAAGTTAGAGTGCGAAAACCAATGTGTCTTCGGACGACGACGACGCCAACGTCATACCAATATACGACTGCAAAAATTTTTGCGGTCGTATAAAAAGGAAAAAAAATCCCTCCCCCAAATTTTTTGAACACCCTTATGATTCATCACCCCCAAACTCAATCCCAGCCTTCCCTTTGTGGTATGGTACCTTGCAGTACAATTTCAGAGAGATCCATACACTTGAACACAAGTTATTGTCTGGAAACTAGAAAAAATGCTTATTTTTGCCCCTTTTTCCTGAACGTTTTGGGCAATTACCCCCAAACTCAATCCCAGCCTTCCCTTTGTGGTATGGTACCTTGCAGTACAATTTCAGAAAGATACATACACTTACACACAAGTTATTATCATGAAACTAGAAAAATGCTTGTTTTTGCCCCTTATTTGGCCCCTAATTCCTGAAATTTTGAGGCAATTACCCCCAAAATCAATCCCAGCATTCCCTTTTGTGATATGGAACCTTGTGGTACAATGTCAGAGAGATCCATACACTAACACACAATGTCTGGAAGTTACAAAAATCCTTATTTTTGGCCCCTAATTCCTTAACTGTTGGTACCATAACCCCCAAAATCAATCCCAACCTTCCTTTTGTGGTATTGAACCTTATGGTAAAATTTCATAGAGATCCATTCACTTAAACTAAAGTTAGAGTGTGAAAATCAATGTGTCTTCGGACGACGATGACGCCAACGTCATACCAATATACAATTTTTTGCGGTCGTATAAAAATGAGTTATCTCCCTTTGTACAGAAATATGGTTTAACATAGTACTCTAACATTAGATATGGTCCAGAGTTATGGTCCATAACTCTGGACTAAATCATCAGACTGGAACAAAATTCGAACGTGATCTATAACTTGTATTGGCAAAACTATATACCAAATATCAAATCAATATCTTCAAGAATGAAGAAAAAAAGTGTGGAAAGCTGATTTGCCGGACTGACAGATGGACAGACGGACGGACAGAGTGCAAACCTAAAGTCCCCTTTGACTTCGTCGGTAGGGGACTAAAAATTATCAACACAGTTATGTGCATCTGAACATGTGCTGAATCACAAATCAATATAAAAGTTTATGGGATTTACTTCCTTGATATGCAGGTGTCAAATACAAGTCATTATTACTGCATTAACTTATAGATATGTGGCAAAATTTTTTAGGAATTTAACAAAGAATCATTGCCCCATATGACATAGTAGCCAGAATAATGAATTACCCTGCTATCAAGAGAGGCGTATTCTGTCAGTTATGATCTACAATGTATAGTTGTATTATAGAATTAAAATGGGGCTAACCATTATAAAAAGAAAAAAAAAGCCAATGTTTCTTGCATCTTCTTGACTGTTAAAAACTTGTACCCGGTATCTTGAATCTGCATTTGAAAGTATAATTTCTAATGAAAAAATACTGGTCAATAGCACAAAGTCTAGAAAAAATACATATAAAGTATCTGCAAACAACACCATTTTCTGAAATGACAATACACATTTAGATATTTATAACTAAAGAGAAGGCTCCAGACTTTCGACAACCACTGCCACCAGCACATTCGCAGAGTAAAACTTGTTTCAAGACCTCAATCTTCCCTTTTTACTTTCAAAAAGTGGTATAACATAGTTCCTTTCACAATATATTGCATTACCTGGACAGATTCTAAGAACCTTACAGCAAGGGCATAGTCTACTTTCCTTTTAGTCTTAGTACTTACCTGGACAGATTCTAAGTACCGTACAGCAAGGGCATAGTCATTTACTTTCCTACATGCTTTTAGTACAGCACTTATAACCTTTGGCTCTGGTACCAAATCTTCACCCTGAAAAAAATAACAATTATTCAAAGAATGCATAGATTAGAGTTGGATGCCAACAAGCTCACTCTGCAAAACTTCTTTTCATAAATTTCTTTAATCCCAAGTTTGAGTGGATCAAAATTCTGTTTAGAACTGATTTATTCATAAACAGCATACCATTTAAAAATAAGATGCATGATTGCTATTAAGACGACTATCCACCGTGACAGTAAAAGTAAAATGTTAATTTGTGTGTTTCCAATTTATTATCTTAATAGTGTTGTCTTGGTTTAAAGTAAGTTATAGATGCATACGAGATGGATTAACACCAATCAGAACTATCTTATATCAGAAAGCCTTCAGTTTCACATACAAATATTGTGCATACAAAATGGATTCATGGCAACCAATTATAAATTTGTGGTAAATTTGCCTTGGAAACTAATTTAACTCAAATATTTTACAATCTAAAGCCTTCTGAAATAACTCAGAGGACTTCTAATACTAAGTCATTGTGTCTTTGACATGAAGTCTTTTTGATAACAAAAGGTTAATTTACAAATGTATAAACCTACATGTTGATGTGTAATAAAACTCCTGATCTGCCACCCAGTTATAGTAGGCCTGGTAAGATAGGCTACACATGAATCATCAAATTCTTCATCTGACTGAGGGACATATGTCACATGTCGTACTGTTGCTGCTGCTGAAAATAAAAAAATGACAAATTCACATTTCTGTATGATAAATTTCATAAATAAGCACGATTTGTGCACAATTTTTTAAATAACAAGCCACATTAAATCACTTAGAATTAGATATGGTAAATTAAGCTTGTTGTAGGAGTCGTTGATTACAAGTCTCATTTTCAACTTTTCAACTTTCTTTGATTATTCATGTACTGCACCATTTAACAATGTTTAATGTGTTTATAATAACAACAACACAATGAATCACTTTCGGAGATAAATAAATAGTCAAAATTAATTTTCGCACCAAACTCGGTAAATTGGTCATACAAGAATTATCGAGGAATATAAAACCAAACGTTCCTGAAATCGAGTCTATTAAATTTTACATAGTTTGATGTGCAAATTTATTCTTAATTTATGCTCTCCGAAAGAGGGATCTTGAGAAATCAGAGAAGCCAATTTTAAAGAAAGCAGTAGGTTATCAAATTATACCTCTGTCAGGCTCTGATGGAATTGCAACTTATTTTATCATTCCTTTGGGAAATATCTGCAAATATTTATAACAAACAAGCACACAAAAGTTAAGAATTTGTATATATATAAAAATAAGGAGATGAGGTATGATTGCCAATGAGACAACTATCCACCAAAGTTCAAATCATGTAAGCAATTATAGGCAACCGTACGGCCTCCATGACCCTTTGGATGACTGATTCATTAGAACATAATGTTGATTTGATATAATTCACCTGTTTGTGGTTTAGCAAAGAGATTAGAGCGAACACTGGCTTGTACAGTTGTTCCAAGTCTGTTTGCGACAGCACGAAACATTTCGACCTTGGATGAAAAAGAAAAATGGAGTGTTTCTAAAGTCCAAACAAACTGCGGTTTTTGTTTCCGGTGTCGAATTTTCCGGTTAATTTGTTTTAGATTTTTTTCCGTAAAAGGAAATTCAAATAATGAAAAATCTCAAGCTTGAGCAAGATAGAACTATAGAACAGAACTATCAGCATGCAAAAATCATTCAAAATTCAATCATTGGAAATTAAATTTCGTTTTGCATTTATCTATGTGAAGCATTTTCGACCATTCTCAGCAATTTATGTCACCCATGAATCAGACTTTTGAATCAGTTAAATGTTTATTTCCACGGTGGCAATGTTCTTCGAAAATGATTGAGTTTTGCAACAAGAAGAAAATGGCATTTGCCGTATTTTTATTAATAAGGTAGACATTGGAATACACACTGTTAAATGTCTGTCTTTCAGTACAAGCTAAAAAGATAGTTTGGACATGTTGCATTCACAAATTAATTTCACTGATACCACAGACACAAATGACAGACACTTGTTTCTGTCATACATGATACAGTAACTAGTAACTACAGTTTACACCCTATAATTATATGATCTTTAGATACCTTATAACAACAAGTAACAACAGTAACTACATCCTATATGGTCTATAGATACCTTAAAACAACAAGTTACAACAGTAACTACACCCTATATGGTCTATAGATACCTTATAACAACAAGTTACAACAGTAACTACACCCTATATGGTCTATAGATACCTTATAACAACAAGTTACAACAGTAACTACATCCTATTTGGTCTACAGATACCTTATAACAACAAGTTACAACAGTAACTACACCCTATATGGTCAATAGATACCTTAGAACAACAAGTTACAACAGTAACTACACCCTATATGGTCTATAGATACCTTATAACAACAAGTTACAACAGTAACTACACCCTATATGGTCTATAGATACCTTATAACAACAAGTTACAACAGTAACTACACCCTATTTGGTCTATATATACCTCATAACAACAAGTTACAACAGTAACTACACCCTATTTGGTCTACAGATACCTTATAACAACAAGTTACAACAGTAACTACACCCTATATGGTCAATAGATACCTTAGAACAACAAGTTACAACAGTAACTACACCCTATATGGTCTATAGATACCTTATAACAACAAGTTACAACAGTAACTACACCCTATATGGTCTATAGATACCTTATATTAGTTATAACAACAAGTTACAACAGTAACTACACCCTATATGGTCTATATATATCTTATAACAACTAGTTACAACAGTAACTACACCCTATTTGGTCTATATATACCTCATAACAACAAGTTACCAAAGTAACTACACCCTATTTGGTCTACAGATACCTTATAACAACAAGTTACAACAGTAACTACACCATATATGGTCCGTATAGATGCAACAGTAACTACACCCTATATGGTCTATAGATACCTTATAACAACAAGTTACAACAGTAACTACACCCTATATGGTCAATAGATACCTTAGAACAACAAGTTACAACAATAACTACACCCTATATGGTCCGTATAGATACAACAGTAACTACACCCTATATGGTCTATAGATACCTTATAACAACAAGTTACAACAGTAACTACACCCTATATGGTCTATAGATACCTTATAACAACAAGTTACAACAGTAACTACACCCTATTTGGTCTATATATACCTCATAACAACAAGTTACAACAGTAACTACACCCTATTTGGTCTACAGATACCTTATAACAACAAGTTACAACAGTAACTACACCCTATATGGTCAATAGATACCTTAGAACAACAAGTTACAACAGTAACTACACCCTATATGGTCTATAGATACCTTATAACAACAAGTTACAACAGTAACTACACCCTATTTGGTCTATATATACCTTATAACAACAAGTTACAACAGTAACTACACCCTATATGGTCTATAGATACCTTATAACAACAAGTTACAACAGTAACTACACCCTATTTGGTCTATATATACCTCATAACAACAAGTTACAACAGTAACTACACCCTATTTGGTCTACAGATACCTTATAACAACAAGTTACAACAGTAACTACACCCTATATGGTCAATAGATACCTTAGAACAACAAGTTACAACAGTAACTACACCCTATATGGTCTATAGATACCTTATAACAACAAGTTACAACAGTAACTACACCCTATTTGGTCTATATATACCTCATAACAACAAGTTACAACAGTAACTACACCCTATTTGGTCTATAGATACCTTATAACAACAAGTTACAACAGTAACTACACCCTATATGGTCTATAGATACCTTATAACAACAAGTTACAACAGTAACTACACCCTATATGGTCTATAGATACCTTATAACAACAAGTTACAACAGTAACTACACCCTATTTGGTCTATATATACCTCATAACAACAAGTTACAACAGTAACTACACCCTATTTGGTCTACAGATACCTTATAACAACAAGTTACAACAGTAACTACACCCTATATGGTCAATAGATACCTTAGAACAACAAGTTACAACAGTAACTACACCCTATATGGTCTATAGATACCTTATAACAACAAGTTACAACAGTAACTACACCCTATATGGTCTATAGATACCTTATATTAGTTATAACAACAAGTTACAACAGTAACTACACCCTATATGGTCTATATATATCTTATAACAACTAGTTACAACAGTAACTACACCCTATTTGGTCTATATATACCTCATAACAACAAGTTACCAAAGTAACTACACCCTATTTGGTCTACAGATACCTTATAACAACAAGTTACAACAGTAACTACACCATATATGGTCCGTATAGATGCAACAGTAACTACACCCTATATGGTCTATAGATACCTTATAACAACAAGTTACAACAGTAACTACACCCTATATGGTCAATAGATACCTTAGAACAACAAGTTACAACAATAACTACACCCTATATGGTCCGTATAGATACAACAGTAACTACACCCTATATGGTCTATAGATACCTTATAACAACAAGTTACAACAGTAACTACACCCTATATGGTCTATAGATACCTTAGAACAAGTTACAACAGTAACTACACCCTATATGGTCAATAGATACATTAGAACAACAAGTTACAACAATAACTACACCCTATATGGTCTATAGATACCTTATAACAACAAGTTACAACAGTAACTACACCCTATATGGTCTATAGATACCTTATAACAACAAGTTACAACAGTAACTACACCCTATATGGTCTATAGATACCTTAGAACAACAAGTTACAACAGTAACTACACCAAATATTGTCTATAGATACCTTAGAACAACAAGTTACAACAGTAACTACACCCTAAATGGTCTATAGATACCTTATAACAACATGTTACACTAATTATAAGGTGAAGGATCTATTTTGTTATGTTCGGTTCTTTTGTGTCCAGAACTCCCCGACTTATAAACATGTCTGTGTGAGATCTTTTATCATATCAGATCCAATAGTGGGAAAGAAACTCTCCTGATTTGGGACAATCACACAAAGAATGTGGTGGGGTTAATCATGTTTGTGAGTGCTCAACCCTCCCTTAATCTGGCACAGTGTTGTAACAGCAGAGGATAAAAACAAATAAACTGTAAAAATCAGTTGGAAATGACTGGACTCATCACATTAGCACAAAAACAACTAACACAAAGATAAAAGACACAAGGTACTAATCTATGAGTACTCACAGTTACTGAAAGCTAATTCAAAGCCAATTACAACAACAACTTAATCATGATCTGCTAGACTAAAGTTAGTATTGATCAGCATGTGATCAGTACACATCCAACAGATTTAGTGTAAAAACGTCATCAAAACAGTCTCAGAAACAATGCCAAAATATAAGTACATAGTCATGATAGTATCAACAGGATGTAGGACCATAAGTTTTCTTAATTGTTATAGCAGAAATTTTTTAAGTTATGTTTTAAAATATCAACAGAAAAATCAATGTAAAGGTTTAAACAAAAACATAATAATAATAATAATAATAATTCGTTATTTAAAGAGGGTTACACAGTTAGCATTAAGGTATATATTGATATTTCTTATTGATGGAGATTAAGAAAAACCTCATTCAGGAAATAAAATAAAATTTGGGTACACATTTTTGTTTCCTTGATGATTTATTATAAAGAAACTTATTTAAAATGGTTGATATGAATTACACAAAAATGTAATATCCAGAGCATTTTTTTTTAGGCATATATGCCTCTTCTTTATGAGTGGTTAAAATGGTTTATCCCACCTTCATTTAACATAATCAATTGTGTTTGCCATGTGCCCATCTCTGCAGTCTCGATGTTATTAATAAATAGTCCATCCTGGTATTAACATCCAAATAATACATATAATATTTAACATTTTTCACTCTAAATATGGTTGTAGTCTTTGTGTGTTGAATGTTAAAACATATTAACTGACCAGCCAGACAATCATATCTCCATTAGATCTTATGGATATTACCATATAGTCCATATTTTTATTTGGCTAGCCTCTTCATTTTTATTTGGGTACTGCACATGTGGATGAATATTAATACTAAGGAAACAGGCTAACATATTTGATTTCCACAATCTAACAATAAATCTTAAATATGAATAAGATTTGTATTACATTTAAGGATAACAGGAATTAACTAAAATATTAAACAGTACAATAGACCACACCAACAACCAACACCTGACTCCTCCTAAAACCCCCCAAAAACAACAGATGTATAAACAAAGACAAGCATCAACAAAAAACACATGGTCATCATAGCCAGGTACATGCACAAAATGTGGCCTCCAAATATGATAAAGAAAATCATATTTAACATGTTTAAAGAAAATCTACATTTGTTTTTTCAGCTTTTCTGTAATAACATTAATAGTAAAGAGTGTGTGGGCATCAACAGACTTCCAAAAACTAAGTACGTACATGTATATTAAGAGAAAGAATATGCATGAAAAAGCACTTAAAATAATATGCCTGTGTGCTATTTTCAAGTGCCCCAATATCAATATCAATTTTTTATATTTTCCATTACATGTTGTTCTAGTAAAAACATGCAAATTAGTATATAGATTCTTAATACTTTATAGTCTCACTTATTTAGAATGACTACAAGTTATTGTATCCATATAAGTGGTTGTGGTCTGGTATTATTAAACATATGATATATTACCGGGTACCAGTACATAACAAAGAAGAAAGAAACATCCAAATGATAAAAATTACAAATACAAATTAACAAGTAGTGGCAGCATGGACCACTATAAAGAAAAAAAGAAGAGACTGAGAAAAAAGATTCCCAGTAAAAGACACACAGATATAGGCAGTTTTTCAATGTATTTTAAGATACATTTTCTTATGTAAAACTATCTGAATTTAGTATCTGTAAAATAAATAAAGGTATGCAGGTTCATGTACAGGGGTACTTTTGAAAAAATAAGATTTGATTTTCTTTAATTTTGCTTATTGTTTTTATACGCCCGATTACGGGACGTATTATGGTATACCGTTGTCCGTCTGTCTGTCTGTCCGTCGTCAACATGTCAGACATTAACTCAAAAACGCTTTAACCAATTTGCATAAAACTTTGGTGAATTGTTTATATCTATTGACATGAGCTCCCTTTCGTTTTTTATAAATTTTAGATTTTACGTTTCCGAGTTATGGGGTTTTATTCATTAAAAAAAGGGGGATTTTCCAGTTTTCGGACAATAACTCAAGAATGCTTTCACCAACTTGCAAGAAATTGTTGTGAATTGTTTATATCTATTGACATGAGCTCCCTTTCAATTTTTATATATTTTAGATTTTACGTTTCTGAGTAACAGGGTTTTATTCGTAAAAAAAGGGTGATTTTCCAGTTTTCGGACCAAAAATGAAAAATGCTTTCAGGTGTAATACCACCATTGATTTTCCCCTATTAGTCTTTGTTAAATTTGCACTTTTCAAAAAATTGTGCAGAATTTATCTTTGTTTCAAATAAAGAAATACTTGGCATGAGTAAAGTTTTATCCTGTCCAGTACTATAGAAAAAATTTCACATAACATTTCATTGCATATAAGAAAATAACCATCACTGGAAGTTAACCAATCAAATTTTCCCCCTTTTTTAACCTGTGTACAAGCTTTAGTAACCATGTAACCTCAAGTTTCCAAAATATTTTATAGAAACCCCAAATAAAAAAATAATGGTGCTTTGAAATACCCAAGATATATGTTTATGACCCAGAAATGTTTTACTGCAATGAAATGTAGGATCAATTACCTACAACTGTCAAATTCAAGGGAATATTTTTTTAGACCTATTTTCGTATGCAACCGGATGTGACGTACTATGATTTGGTGGTATTACACCTTCAGCAGTTCGTATGAAACATTGGTGAATTGTTTATATCTATTGATGTAAGATCTGTTTAGAATTTTATAAATTTTACATTTTACATTTCTGAGTTATGGGGTTTTATTCATTAAAAAAGGGGGGATTTTCCAGTTTTCGGACAATAACTCAAAAATGCTGTCAGCAATTCTCATGAAACTTTGGTGAATTGTTTGTATCTATTGATGTAAACTCCCTTTACATTTTCATAAATTTCTAATATGACTGAGAATTAATTGATATTTATAGTCTGACAACAGATTTACTAAGCATTGGGCAACAGCACAGTGTATTGCACAACAGCAAGAAATCTTTAATTGAATATAAATTCAATTCATATAACCAATTTCAAGTTCTTTTGACTACATTTATTCAGAAACCTATAATATGTCAAATATTTAATTACAATCCAAATTCAGACCTGTATCAAGCTTGAATATTGTGTCCATTTTTGTCCCAACTGTTCAGGGTTGGACCTCTGCGGGCGTATCCAGCTGCGCTCAGCGAAGCAGTTTATTCATCATGGTAAATGTACAATATTTGTGCAATGTATTTTCTGATAAATGTGTTTATATCTTTAAATGTTTAATTATTGAAATTATTTTTCAGTATCAAACACAACAGCATGTAAAGATGTAGATATAGTAAATACTCAGACATGTTTTAGATGCAGTAAAAAAGAACTGGTTAGTCAAAGTTTAGAAATGTATTATTGGTTATAGCTTTTTAATATGTTTCAGATAAAAATCTTTGGCGAGAATAAAATATGCAATAAGAAGTTGTGCATATTTTAGACCAGACACCATCTAGTACACCATCGAGATGACCTCCCATGACTACAGATGGTCACACTACCTGATATAAACATAAATAGATATAAATAGACGGACAAGCACTTAAAATCATATAATGAGAATTTTTCTAGGTCTGTTTGCTTTAATAAAAGAAAGGCGAAAGAAATCATAGGGACATTCAAATTCATTAGTCCAAAACAAACTGACAATGCCATGGCAAAAAACTAGAAACTATCAAAAGACAAACAACAGTATACAAACACATCATAGAAAAGTAAAGACTGAGAAACACAAACCACATCAAAAACCGGGGGTGATCTCAGGTGCTCCAGAAGGGTAAGCAGATCCTGCTACACATGTGGCACTCGTTGTAATATAAATCATCATTTAACCTGCATATGTATGATTTTTTGTTGGCAGAATCAGTCTGTAGACCAAATATTGATGCTTAATCTGATCTATGTTGTTTGATATGTTGAAAGGCATCACAATAAAAGTATGAGTAAAAATTTACTGATTTTCTAATCGTTTTGTAGAGAGCAGAAGTGCCAGTATGTTCTAAAACAGGGTACAAACAGACAGTTGAATGTAAAGATGGAACCAAATTTTGGAGAAGGTACATACTTACATAAGTGTTAATAGTTCATAAATCTTTTTAGCAGTTAATCAGTTTGAAGAGCTGAATTCACACTGCAACTTGGAAACACATATTGGTCAATAGGTATTGTGGAAAGACAATATGAACAAAGCCTTTTGAACAAGCACTGTAACATTTACAAAAAAATCTACTGTCAAACCTGTTTGCTTAATCAAAATTTATATTTAGATTCAGGGTTTTTTAATTTGTGGTTTACGGATCCATGACCCTATTTTGGCGATTTTCAGAAAGAAAAAAAAATTTGACATTTCATGCTTTTTTATTCCTGCCGACCCAAACAAATAAATTGCCCCTGAAATATAAATAAAAATATCTGTGTAACAACTTTTTCCAAAAATTAAATGCAATATTTAAGCATGTTAAAACATTTCTCAAAGAATAAAAATCTAAAAATAAAGTGTAGTGTTTGTGTGCCTAAAAATAGATATCAAAACTGACCATGAAATGTTGTTTATGCAAATTATTTTGCGAAATGAAACCTATGTTAAAAGCCCATTACAATAAGTTTGTTTTCCTTTTTTTCATAATTCCATACGATTCTTCATCTCATAGATGAAATGGACCTGTCCAAACGTGAAAGGATGTCAATTTAAAAGGAACAGATATATCCTCAAACAATTTGGAATTTTCTTGTTCATAGATTGAAAAAAAAATTCTTCCATTTGGATATCAAAAGTGAGATTGCCTGCCAAAGGATGAAACCGTTATCCTCGTTTTTCATTGGACAGGTCTACTTCGTTTATGACTCTGATGGTAAAGTGATATTTTCATGCGATGTGTTTGAAATTTTTATTTCATGTGTTTTCGTGCTTGAAGCTCATTATTAGTCCCCTACCGACAAAGTCGAAGGGGACTTTAGGTTTGCACTCCGTCCGTCTGTCTGTCCTTCTGTCAGTCCGGCAAATCAGCTTTCCACACTTTTTTTCTTCGTTCTTGAAGATATTGATTTGATATTTGGTATTTAGTTTTATCATGACAAGTTATAGATCAAGTTCAAATTTTGTTCCGTTCTGATGATTTAATCAGAGTTATGGACCATAACTCTGGACCATATCTAATGTTAGAGTACTACAATGTATGTTAAACCATATTTCTGTACAAAGGGAGATAACTAATTTTTTAAAAGACATTCTTTGTTCAATTATTTGAAGAATTTTTTGGCAGGTTTGTTAGTTATTTAGTATAAACTAATTTTCTGAATGCTATATATATAAAAAAAAATTATGAAGAGAAATCCTTTAATTAGATAATAATTTATTTTATTATGTATATATTTCAATACATTACATTGTGTAGATAAAAGTTGTTGACACTTTATAGATAAGTTACAAATCTATATTAGTTTGTGACAAATGAAAGAAAAAATATTTGGAACTATTAATTATATTTGATTATAATTTGAAATAGATATACACTGTACTACATCATATCTAATTTTAGAGAACTATTAATCATATCTAAGGTTTTTTTTCATCATGCTTATACAATATTGATTGATAATTGGTATATAGTTTTATCATGACAAGTTACAGATCAAGTTCAAATTTTTGTTTGGGTCTAATAATTTTGTGCAGAGTTATGGTCCTTGGACTTGAAAAATTCACTCATATAATCAGTTTTCCACACTGTTTTTAGTCATGCTTGAAGATATTGAGATGATATTTTCTTTTTGTTTACACCATGGCAAGTTATATAACAAGTTAGCATTTTGTTCCAGTTTAATGAATTTTTAACTGGTAGGGGACTATGTATTGCCATGCAATACTCTAAGAATGCTTGTTCACTTTGTTTCCTGAAAGTTGATAATAAGCAACAAGTGGCTGTTTTTTTTAAAGTTGATTGAAATGTACTTTTCTTTCCTGTTTGTCCATAGACACACCCCCTTTTTACAAACTTAGGTGACGATGATATGCATTGTACATTTACAACAGCTGTTCATTAATGTTTGGAACTAAAAAATTAAGAAAAAACATACTAAAACTATTGTTAGTAAGCTGAAATATTTATCAAATTTATAAATATTTCTATCTTGTAAGAATTTTTATGCCCTACCTAGGGGCATTTTGTTTTTCGGTCTGTGCGTCCGTTCATCTGTCCAGCTTCAGGTTAAAGTTTTTGGTCAAGGTAGTTTTTGATGAAGTTGGAGTCCAATCAACTTGAAACTTAGTACACATGTTCCCTATGATATCATCTTTCTAATTTGAATGCCAAATTAGAGTTTTGACCCTAATTTCACTGTAAATGAACATAGAAAATGATTGTGCGAGTGGGGCATCCGTGTACTATGGACACAGGCCATAATCTTGCCGGCTAAATGACGATTTAAGTCACCAAAGAATTTTGAAAATCACTAAATCTTGCCAGCCGACTGACTTCATGGCGAAGTCAAAATGCTATGAAAATCGGTAAAAGGAAGACAACTTGTGAATTACAAGTCTTCCAGGTAAAAAAAAATGGCGACTGACAAGGAAAATCGAGATTTTCGAAACGACCCAGGACTAATACTGTCTATGATCAAATTAAATAAATACAACGGCGACTTTGAACATCCTCGGATATAACATTCAAAACTATTCAAACGGAAAACTGACTGTCTGTTAAAGTTATCATTTTACAATGACTTTTATCTGAGGATGTTGCGTAATCACTCACATTGTCAGCTGATTTGTTTTATTTTTATTTATTACGAGTCGATCAAATTGTACTATTTGGTAGGTTAAGGGTGGAAATTAACGGTAGATTTATTATATTCATTGAATAAAAATTGAAATATAAAAGGTAGAAAGACAGCTGATGGATAATGTGATTGCAAACGTACAACACTCGACCAGCTGTGATCAGCAGTGGATTTTTTTTCACGACCATTTCGTTGATAGGGAAGATATCTTTAAAAAATGATAGAAATTAGCTCTATCGGTTAATTAATATGTGATTGACAGATATTTTCATTTATAGGCTTACAACCTTTTACGAGAATCTCAATTTACAACTACATGTATCATGATGTCCTGCCGGACATTCAATAATGTTTTACAAAATAATGACAAGTGGTGATATAAATTAAATTCCCAGTCATGTGAAATTCATCAAATAAACTGGGAGTCATATTTTTCTGGACATTTAAAAATAAATTGAGGCAGATGCACATGAATTTAATGCATCATAATAATACTAGGCTACTCCCTCATGTCTCAAGCAACAAATTTTATTTAAACTTAAATTCAAGTTGACAGTACAAATGGTATCAATGAATAAATAACAACTATATTGTCTAAACCTTTTTATTAAGAACTTTCTATATATACATTTTGTACAATAACATGAAAAAACTGCAAGTATTTTTTTTATTGCATATAAAACAATTTCCTTAGTGATAAGCACGAGAACACTATGCAACTGAAACGGTAATGGAATCTCACTTCTCCAAGAAATTGACCACTTCTCCCTTTTCTCTCATGGAAGGAGAAGTCACTTCTCCCTCTCCAAAATCATAGATTAGGCCCTGTATGGACACATTCTTGTTTTTAATTTTTTTGCCGACCGCCCGATCCCGACTTTTTCACATAAAAAATCTGTGAACCAACAAATTAAAAAACCCTGGTCTTAGGAAAAGAATTTTTGGTAAAGATGTCTTGACAGCTGATATTGTCTTGAAATACAAAATACGACAATAAAAATAAAACCTCACAAAATTATATCAGACGTTTTGTTTTGTTATATCAATAATCCAATATCTTTGATATTATAGTCCTTAAAAGTTATGTATACAGTAAACAGAATTTGAATGGCATGAACATTGAAACAATGGACAAAATATGAAAAATTGAATTATTGCTGACATTGAAAATTTCTTTGCTGTCATGTCATGTCACACATTTACATATTAAATATATTTTGTATACACTTATTTAAACTGCCCTGAAACAGATAATATCTTAAAAGTATAAAACATTTGTAAAAAATCGTCTGTAACTTGGAAAGAATACAAGATTGTATGGCTTAAGATTTGAAAAAAAAAATAATTACAACTGAGGTGAAAAATCAATTACATGTAAGTAACAGATTCTCCTCAATTTAAAGAAATGATTGCATAAGTCGATTTGATTATCTATTTCCATTAAAAGATAGCTATACATCTGATGCAGATTTACTTCAAACGTTTTATCTCTGTTTTGTTATAGATAAATTGTATTTGCAATGTGAAAAAATATTGCAAACAGAGCATTTATTTGATCAATTTGTCAGATTTAAAAGAAATACTAAATAGGTTGTGCAAAACTTTGTCAAATATGTATGCAAAAAGATGTAAGGGGAATGTTCATGAGATAGCAACAAAACAAAACAGTTCAAACAAATGATACACATTAAGAGGTCCTGGTATGGACTTGTACAGTGGGAAGTTTCAACATCCTATATATTACAAGCTAATTATTGACCTGAGTCTAGAAAAGTTATTTATTTATAAATTAAATAGAGAAAACCAAAATATCAACATTAATTTCACAATTGACCACAAAACTTGAAGAGACAGTGACAACAACTGAGGAAATCGCTGATTTAGGACAGCACATAACATGTGGAAGGGTTGTGCTAATTGTGTGAGTACTACATCTTCCCCCTTTACCTTGGTCAATGGAATAATGAAATGATTTATGTACATATAAAATATAAAATAAAGACCTGTGAAAGAAATACCACTTAATTCAATAAAATCAGTACATGTATTACAGAAAACAACAATTCTATAAATTTCAAAGAAGGCTCACAGTTACTGAAAGTGAGATCAACATGCTTTATCTACTTATTTCTTAATCACTATACATTTTAGCCTTTTATGTCTTTTACAGCTGTGAAATAACACCAGATATGGATGAGAAAAATTTCTGGATATTTTGGGCTGTTAATATAGTGATAGGACTTGTGGCTTTTGTATATGTCAGAAGAAGACAGAAAACGTTGGATGGAATTCTTATGGAAAAAATTAATAAACAGTTAGCATCTGGTTTATAATAGATACTTGTGACAGTTAATTTGTGGAGAAGAATTGTTTATCAATATCAAATAAAATACAAGTTGTAGTGACATATTATCTAGGTTTAACCTAAGTTTTGCTGTTAGATGCATTATTGGGTAGTCTGATAAATTATTGTGAATGTAGTTTTCTTCATGGGATGTTGTTCACTAGGTTATCTTGAGAATTATTCAGAATTCGCTAATATGAAGTTAATGAGTAAGAACAATATGCATTATTTTTTGAATTTTAGAAATTTCTGCTTTAGAATATTTATAATCCTGCTCTGAGGGAGCTGTGGTAAACAGATGTACTGCCTTTCTTCTGTCAGTCCACCATGTGTCCATCTGTTCCATATTTTTTCTGTCACATTTTTCTCAGGAACCATAAATCCTTCCATAAATTTGGTATCAATCTTCATGTTAGCACTCTTTACCATGTGCTGTGTTTTCACATCCATTGTTATTAACTTCCTGTTTATCCAATATTTATGATTTATTCTCACACAAAATGGCCATGTATGAAGTTTTTATCACATTTTTTTCAGGAACTACAAATCAGAGCGTCATGAAATTTGGTAATAAATTAAGCTTCATGCAAGCATGCTATATATAGAGAGTGAAGTGTTTTCACATTTATTGTCATCGACACTCAGTTTATCAAATTCTTATATTGGGTTATCATAAGTCAGCAATACATAATCCGCATGAATACAAATACTTTCATAGTATCACATAGGGTGTGAATTTATTCAAAAACATAAGTTATTTAATTTAATTGTGAAGAAAATGAATGGTGAACTTATCACTTCAAGAAAATAAATGGTTTGAAAGTATTCTCTCTAAGAAAACATTTTTGTCGAGCCTTCGACTTTTGTCGAAAAAGCGAGACATAGCGATCCTACATTCCGTCGGCGTCGTCGTCGTCGTCGTCGTCGTCGTCGTCGGCGGGGGGCGTCCACAAATATTCACTCTGTGGTTAAAGTTTTTGAAATTTTAATAACTTTCTTAAACTATCCTGGATTTCTACCAAACTTGGACAGAAGCTTGTTTATGATCATAAGATAATATTCAAAAGTAAATTTTGTAAAAAAAAAATTCCATTTTTTCCGTATTTTACTTATAAATGGACTTAGTTTTTCTGCCAGGAAACATTACATTCACTCTGTGGTTAAAGTTTTTGAAATTTTAATAACTTTCTTAAACTATCCAGTATTTCTACCAAACTTGGAAAGAAGCTTGTTTATGATCATAAGATAGTATCCAGAAGTAAATTTTGCCAAAAAAAATTTCCATTTTTTCCGTATTTTACTTATAAATGGACTTAGTTTTTCTGCCAGGAAACATTACATTCACTCTGTGGTTAAAGTTTTTGAAATTTTGATAACTTTCTTAAACTATCCTGGATTTCTACCAAACTTGGAAAGAAGCTTGTTTATGATCATAAGATAGTATCCAAAAATAAATTTTGCAAAAAAAAATTTCCATTTTTTCCGTATTTTACTTATAAATGGACTTAGTTTTTCTGCCAGTTAACATTACATTCACTCTGGTTAAAGTTTTTAAAATTTTAACAACATTCTTTAACTATCCTGGATTTGTACCAAACTTGGACAGAAGCTTGTTTATGATTAAAAGCTAGTATCTAGAAGGAAATTTTGTTAAAATTTAATTCCATTTTTTCCGTATTTTACTTATAAATGGACTTAGTTTTTCTTCCAGTTAACATTACATACAGTCTGCAGTTTAAGTTTTTAAAACATTTATTAGATTCATAAACTATCCTGAATTTTTACCAAACTTGGACAGAAGCTACTTACAATAAAAAAATAGTATAGAGAGGAATATTTTTATTAGTTTTTTTTTCTCATTTTTGTTGAGTCTGCGATTAACAGCAAAAGTAGGCGAGACACTGGGTTCCGCGGAACCCTTACGAATTTTTTAGATATTTTCCTGACGCTGTATGGTTGTAATAAATGTATGATTTGGAAGATTTGTAATGAATTTAGGAATAAATCTCATATATAGACATGATTTAGAACTGAAACATATTTGTGAATTCATTATTAATGTTAGTATTTCATATGTACATTATTTTTTGTTTCTATTACAAATCATCATGATAGTATCTTGTTATTTATTAGTAATACGTCCTTGAATTATTGCACATTTATTTTAAATAAAAACTAAAATTTTATTTTACTCTTCATTTTGTCTATATTTCATTTTTGCTGTGCAAAGGACCATGTATAGCCTAAATATTGTAGGCCATGCAAAACTGTATATGTACAACACTTTGACAAAATTAATAGGTGCTTACCTTGTTAACTGTAAGAAGAGTCTGACAGACAAACTATGTACCCTATATAGAAAACTTCCCCAAAAATTAATTATTGGGTTCAACAATTGGTAATTTCGTGAAAAATGAAAAATTGAAAAAGGAGTACTGTCTATTTGCACAAATTCAGTACATGTACAATTAAATACTGTTCTACAAAATAAAAAGAACTAAGTCTTGTACAATGTAAGAGTAGTTTGACAGACAAACCCTGTACCCTACAGTCATATTTCCATAAAAATGCATAAGTTCAACAACCTCTTTTATTAGAGAAGATCAAACATGCATATCTCCTACATATGATCACATATGCACACCTATTCTATAAAATCAAAAGGTTCTTCCTTGTTAACAATGGAAATTCCATGGATAAACTATACATCCTATAGACAGATGGACGGATGGAAGAACCAGACTGACTGGAGTAAATTGATATGCCCGACATTTTTTCACAGGGCATAAGAAGTCAAAGTCTATATACATTTTCCCCCTCTGAGAAAATCACTCCAAACGATTCCCATGGAAACAATAGGCAGTACTGTTGGCTGTCAACAGTCCCGACTTAGAACGTTTCAAACATTTCAATTTTTATGACAATAATTATATTCCCCAGGGTGACTAGGGAAATTCAGTGTGTGGCTACGTATATAGACTTCTTTTAAACTGAGTTTTACTGTGCGTATTGCTATGTGTTTCTTTATTCTACATTGGCTAGAGGTAAGGGGGAGGGTTGAGATCTCACAAAACATGTTTAACCCCCGACGCATTTTTGCGTCTGTCCCAAGTCAGGAGCCTCTGGCCTTTGTTAGTCTTGTATGTTTTTTTAATTTTAATTTTAGTTCCTTTATTTGTTTTGGAGTTTAGTGTGACGTCCATTTTCACTGAACCAGTACACAATTTTATTTAGGGGCCAGCTGAGGACCACCTCTGGGTGCGGGATTTTCTCGCTGCGTTGAAGACCCATTGGTGGCCTTCGGCTGTTATCTGCTCTTTGGTCGAGTTGTTGTCTCTTTGACATATTCCCCATTTCCATTCTCAATTTTATCCCCTGACTAATTTTATACGTCTCGGGTAAATTACTACCAGAGACATACACAGTATTTTTCTGGTGCATTTGTTTAAAATTTCCATGTTATGACTGTCTATCTCTTTTGTAGAGAGAGTGTCTTTTCCTTTTGTGTTGTGGCAAATGATAATGAAAGTCAATTTGTTGAGAAATAGATTGGTAAAGTTTGAGATCTGCTTACAGTTATCTCAAATATTGACGGAGTGGAAAGTCTGGTATTGTAGGCTATATTAACTTTTGCTTGCAGTGTTGCAGCAAAAAAAACTTAAAAAAGTATTCAATGACATCACATTTATTTGGATAAGAATTGACAAATAACACTTAAGGTCTGCCATCTTGGATTGTAAAATAGCAGAACTCGAATCAAGTCACCAAATTTTGATGCAGGAATGCAATTTACTGATAAGAATTTTCATTTAAATTGACAAATTAATGTGATTTTATCTTAAGATTACATATATTTTTACAAAGGTAGAAAAATTTTGCTTGACTACATTTTTTTTATGCCCCCGCTGAAGCGGAGGTGGCATTAAGATTTACCTTTGTCCGTCTGTACGTTTGTCTGTACGTCCCAAAATTGGTTTCTGTCTCTAACTTCAGTTTGCCTCAACCAAATGTTAGGAAACTTATACACAATGCTTATTACCACAAAAAACAGATCAAGTTTGAATTTGGGTGGTGTCACTTTTATCTTTCTAGAGTTATGCCCCTTTACAAATGGAAAAATTGCTGAATTTTTTGTTTCTGTTCTCTAACTTAAGTTGGCCCCAACCAAATGTTATGAATCTTATACACAATGCTTATTACCACAAAACACAGATCGAGTTAAATTTTGGTGGCATCACTTTTACCGTTCTAGAGTTATGCCCCTTTACAAATCGAAAATTGGTGAATTTTTCGTTTCTGTTCTCTAACTTAAGTTTGCCTCAACCAAATGTTATGAAACTTATACACAAAGCTTATTACCACAAAACTCAGATCAAGTACGAATTTGGGTAGCGTCACTTTTACCGTTCTTGAGTTATGTCCCTTGATAATGTTATATGCAAGCGGAGGCATCATCTTCTTCTTTTCTTCGTATAAGCTTCCTCTGTTAGGAACACCCCTCTTTTGAGGGTAATATGGATAAAAAGTCTTTAACTATGTACACACTCCGTGAATATATATACACTTGCTAAAATCTAAAATAGACTTTAAGTCATCTGTGTCCCATGGACACATTCCCCATTTATTTTAAACTAACTTTAAATTCAGAAATTATTGCAAGGTTTTTATAAATGCAAATAATGCGACTGGTTGAGTATCGCAATAATTAGAGCTCACATTCAGATATCTGATACCTAAAATCGTAATAATTAGTCTCGCATTTTTGTCCATTCTTTAAAATTTTTGAATTAACAGTATTAAGGGGAGGTAATTATAAATTGTATAAATTATAAAAGGAATCTTCAGGAAATTTTTCTATTTTGCTTATAGCAGGAAAACATGTAGTGTTATCCCATTTTTCCTTTTGATATTTTGAAAGCATTTTATAAGAGCTATCTTTTGTATTGATCAAGCCATAATGGTCTATGTGATCACTCCAGATTTTAAGATCGTGTAGAATTCTGAATTGAAGACAAATTATGAAACTTATGATGTGTTTTATGACCTTCAAAAAGTTTAGACACCATTTTAATCATCTACTGCCAACTTTTGATATGTTATTTGCCCTTAATCAGTGTTAATTTAAGAAAAGAGCCGTCAAATAGCTACGAAATTTTAGATATACACTTGCAAATAGTTCCTTTGACAATCACAATATATAAATGTTACTATTTAGGATTTGAAGGTAAGATATCAAATTTAAGCAGTTGATAAGAATTATGAAAGCATTTTATCAGTATCTTATGCTTGTGTTAGTAATTAAACGAAATTTGGTACAAGCTATTTATTGATATCAAAGTGGATTCCAACACCTTTTCAAATACTGATATTCCAATTCTTTTCTAAGGCAAGTAAAAGTACTGATACAGTATAAATAAGAAGATATGGTACGAGTGCCAATGAGACAACTCTCCATCCAAGTCACAATGTATAAAAAGTTAACAATTATAGGTCAAAGAACGGCCTTCATCACGGAGCATTGGCTCACACCGAACAGCAAGCTATAAAGGGCCCCAAAACGACTAGTGTAAAACAATTCAAACAGGAAAACCAACGGTCTAATCTGTATAAAAAACGAGAAACACCTATGAACCACTGAAACGACAACCACTGAACAACAGGCTCCTGACTTAGGACAGGTGCATAAAAATGCAGCGAGTTTAAACGTTTTAACTGCGCCAATTTCACCCTAACCTGAGACAGTAGTGTAACATTAGGGAGCTACCATTCGATTTTTATGGGGGGGGGGGGGGGGGGGGGGGGGGGGGGGGGGGTAGGAAGAAATTTGAA